GCCGCGGCCGCCCCGCACCGGCACCGGCGCCGCCCCGCACTCGCAGCCGCACCCGAACCCGCAGCCGCGCCGGCACCGCCCCGCATCGGGACACGCACCGGCACCGCCCCCGCCCCGCACACGAACCCTGACCCGCACACGAATTCGCACAGGCACCGGCACCGCTCCTCCACAGCCGCACCGGCACCGCCCCCGACTCGCACCCGCACCTGCAAAAGCCCCCCGGACAGCCCGGTCCCGTTCCCGGACCCGGGCACCTCACCTGCTGCTGGGCATCAACCCTGCCCTTGCTGTGCTCCTGATCCCGGGCATCCCCTAGTCCTGACCCCAGTGCCCGTCCTCGGTGCACTCCCGGTCCCATTTTCAGCCCAGAGCACTGTCCTGGTCCAGCTCCTAGCCCTTATCCTGTTTATCCTGGAGGGGTGGCACGGGTCCCATTCCTATTCCGGGTCCTGTGTAACCCAGTCCCAGCCCAGGGCACCCCCAAATTGCTTCAGCCCTGCTCTGGGCACTTGTTCTGGATCCAGCCGCAGACCTGGGGCACCCCCAGCCCTCTTCCCAATGCCACCTCTGACACTGTGCACCCCACTCCCGGGCACACCCCTTCCGCAGGACACTGGCTTGGGCCACACACCCCTTAGGGTGCTCAACAGAGCATTTTGGGGGTGGGTGCGGGGATTGGAGACTATTTGGGGTCTGCTCCCTACTGCGACCCCTTAAGCACTTAGACCAGAGGGGACACCCCACGGGGACCCCACAGACAGCTGCGGGGGACTAGACCGCAGCGGGTGGCAGGGCAGTGGGGCCATCGTGTCCCCCGGCACCGTGGGGCAGGCGGGGTGACCTCACCGCGCTGCCGAGGAGGTGGCACATGACGTCATGGGGCAGGGGGATGGGGGATGCTGTGCGGGGACAGGGGCGGGGGGATGCGACCACCGCCACCGCCACGGCTGAGCAGAGAATGGGTTCCCCCCGCGGGAGGGTGGGGAGCAGCGGGGTGGGGGACCAGGAGCGTGGCGCCGGCGGAGGCCGGGGCGGCCGCAGAGGCCCAGCCTTGCATTGTTCTCGGGCGGCAGCCGGAAAACGCGACGCCCGCCCGGGAGAGACGCAGGCGGAAAAGGAAACGGGGCTGGGGGCCCGTGCCTGGTGCTGCGGGGGCGGGAGTTGGGGTCCCCCCACAGCCCCCACCTGGTTCCCACCTGCCGCCTTCACCCTTGCCCCACCATAAGCTCGGGCCCGCTGCCCCACTGGGGGAGCGGAGGTCAGCTGGGAGGGGGAAGATCAGCCTGGGAAAGGGGAGAATTTGGGGAGGATGCTGATTGCCAATGGGGTGCCCCTTTGCAGACTCCCCCCCCGCCCCCCCCGCGGGATCGGAGCCGGCGCTGGTGGGCTGAGCGGTGCGGGAGGGGGGCGAGGAAAAAGGAGGGTGAAGATGAGGAAGAAAAAGGGGGCGATGCCGGGCAGGGCAACTACAAGTCCCATGAGGCCGGGCGGTGCGGGGGGGGCCGGGGAAGCACCGGGCGGGAGGTGGCGGCCCGCCCCGCCCCGCGCCCCCCCCGCCCCGCGCCGCCCCGCGCCGCGCCCGCCGCGCCGCTCCAGCATGCACGGAGGATGCTCGCGTCTTGCTCGGGCAGGAAGGGGCCGGAGGGCAGGTACCCGCTGCACTACCTCGTCTGGCACAACCGCGCCCGTGACCTGGACCGGGAGCTCAGCGCCAAGCAGGTGGGGCGGCGCGGGGGCACTCCCGGCACGGCACGGCACGGCCCGGCCCGGCTCCGCTCGGTTCGGGCTGATGCAATGCTCGGGGCCGGGGTGAGGATGAGGATGGAGATGAAGGGGGTGATAAGGATAGGGTCGCTCTCTGCGCTGGCGGGGCTCTGGGGGTGTGGTGTGTGTCCCCACCTGCACCCCTGGACTGTCCCTGCTGCCCCCGGGGCTGCCGCGGAGCGCTGGGTACCACCCGCGGGTCTCCTGCATCCTCCGGCACACGCAGCCCCGAGCATCCCTCCGCACGTGTCCCCAGCTCCCTGCTAGGCCTCTGCAGACCCCCGGCCCGCACCCCGCTTCTCAGGGTATTGCCACCCCTCTGGGGGTGCAGCCTTCCGCTCCCCACTCTCAGGCTGAGCCCCTCCGGGGGCGGGGGGGACAAGGGCCCTGGTGCTGCCGGGGCGCAGCCCCCCAGCCTCACAAGGGTTCTTCTCAGGGTGAGGGGACCTACTTTGTGCCTCAGCCCGGGAACCTCCCAGCCGCCCGGTGATGGAGCGGGGTGTGGGTGCTTCCCCGGCGGGTTCCCAGCCTCCCTCTCCCCCGTGGCGTTGCAATTCAGGTAATTAAAACCCAACCCCGAAGACGCAGAAAACCGCAGGCACTGGAGGGAGGCTGACGGGGAAGCTGTGCTGAGCATCCCCAGTCTCTCGGCCCAGGTCCCCAAACCCCAAGGCACTGAGGGCCATGCTGGATGGACCCTGGTGATGCATGAAACGGGGGTCATTGTGCCGCGAAGCTCCCGCCGGGATGCAGGCGATGGCTCCCGCCACACCCGTCTCCATTGTGGGGTCCAGCCGGAGGCTGCACCAGCATCGCCCCGGTCTCCCACCCCATTGCCAGTGTTTTTATTTTCGTTCTAATTTGGGGTCAGTTTTCCCAGGAGCCCAGCGCGGCAGAGATCAAAGCTGGGCTCGGCAGACGCGGAGAGGTGGAGGGGCTGCGGGGGGGCCCTGACCCGCTCGCCTGCAGAGAGGCTCCAACCCTCCAGCTTGGGAAGTAGCAGGGCTCTGCCCTGGCCCCCGCTGGCATTTGATGAGTGGGAGCAAAGCCAGCCATGTGTGCACCCCAGGGGTGCACGGGGTGGGGGGGCATGGGTGCTGCAGGGGCAGGTGGGGGCTTGGGGAAGGAGGTGAGGGCCAACCCAGGCTCCCTGCTCTGTCCAGGGCATCCAGGGACATGGCTCAGCCCTTATCTCTGCCAGAGCATCCCCCAGGTAAGGGGTTGGGGCTGGTGCTGTGTGAAATGCTGGAGGCTGGGTGCCCCTCTGCCCAGGTCCCTGCCCTCTCTCTGCCTTGGGGACCCCCATAGGGCAGTGGCTCCATGTGCTGCCCCTCCTGAGTGCAGATGTTTGGGGTTGGGAAGCACTGGGGCAGCTGAGACCGTTGCTCCTTTTCATGTCCTCTGTGTCTGTCACCCCCAAACTGTCGCCATGAGCTCCTATCAACACCTGGCTCCACAAGGGAGCAAGGGTCAGTGGGTCCCCTTGACAGGGACATCACAAGGATGTGGCAGGCAGTGACATGGAGCCTGTTGTTCCAGGACACCCCTCACTGCAGCCTGCCCCCTCAGGCGTGACACGGACCCGGGGCTGCACAGGGACAGCAGTGCCTGGCACCATCTTCCCGTGCTGGCTCACGTCCCTTGTTGCTACCCAGGAGCAGGAGCTGGGGTTCTCCAACCCAGGGACAACCCCAGTGGAGGGACGTGCTGTGCCACGTGCCAGGCTGGCACAGGAGGAATGACTGAGCTGCGGTTCTGCACTGCACCGCTGCCACCCCAAAGCCACCCCCGTCCCCGTCCCCGTCCCCATCCCCGGGGGGTGTCACAGCCCAAGGATGGGCAGCACCTGGAGGTCTCTGCTGTGGTCCCCAAGCTGGAGCCAACCCAACACCAGGGCTCAGGACTGAGCTCTTGCTGGCAAAATCTGGGTCATGCCGTGTCCCCCGGGGTGGCTCCAACACCGTGTCCCCACACTGGGGACCCTCAGTGCTGGGGCAGGGCTGCAGCTGGGGAGCCCCACTGAGCCTGCAGCCCCCGCCCTCAGCTAGGGGGTGATTGCCTTAATTAGAGTCGTTTCATTAGTGCAATTAAGAAGCAGCAGTCGCCTGGAGAGCATTGGAACAGCACATTGGCTCCTAGGGAACTGGGGGGCTGTTTTGCTCCGGTGCTGTGGGCAGACTGGGGGGTCGCCCTAGCTGGTGAGTCCCTGGGGATGAGGGGCATGGGATTGGAATGGCCCTGGGGCAGCAGGAATGCAGGGCATGCCCAGGTTGAGGCAGGGATGTGCTGCAGGTGAGACCCTGGGCACCAGGGAGCCCATGCTCCACCTCTGCCCACACCCAAACACCTCTGACTGTCCTGTCCCAGCTGGCACCTTTGGGTCCTGCAAACCCCAGATTTGTCCTCCTGAGAGTGGTCTTCCCAAAACCAATTATTTGGGCACTGCCCATTGCCCTGGCAGCATCTGATTGCACCTCTCCTGGCACAAGGCTTCTACCCCAGCTGGGTGCTGCTGGCACAGAGGGTGCCCCCCCCTTTCCCCAGGCCATGTCCCCAGCTGGGCACGGCTGTGACGCTGCTTCCCACACAGGGAATGGAGCCCGTGGGTGCCGGGGGTGCCCACCCGCCACCGCGCGAGGGATTCCTCAGGGTTGGCTGGGTGCCAGGCTCCGGGTTTGGCACAAACAACGGCAGCCCCAGCGACGGCTCCCCAGGGCCCCGGGGATCCTCGGAGCAGGCGCTCCGCTCCCGCAGCCGCCCGCCCCCGGCTCAGGCAGGGGAACACGTGCGCCCGCCGCAGCCCACGGCGCCCGCCGCGCTCCCAGCCCTGGCACAGGGGGGCTGCTGGCAGCTGCTGCCTGGCAACTGGGCACAACCCCCCCCCAAATCCCAGAGGTGGGGGCTTTTCTGGAGCTTGCAGCTGCATTGAGATGTGCAGAGCTCCATGCGCTGTGCCAGGGGCATGTGTGCCCCTGCTCTGTGGCTGCCTGGTGGGTGCAGCCCAGCCTGGCTGTGATGAGGTGTGCTGGGTGCTGGCAGCCACCACCGTGCTCTCCATGCCCTCTCCATGGGTCTGGCAGTGGCAGGAGGGAGAGGCTTTTGAGGTGCCTGTCTTGGAGGAGGTCAGGGTGGGAACGCTCTCCCGAATACTGTCAAATGTTGGCTGCTTTTTGTGTCTGGGAGCTGCACATCTGTGGGAGAGTACTGGAGAGCAAGGTCTGGCCACCCCAGTGATCTCAGAGCCTCACTCCTTCCTGGCAGGCCGACATCGAGCAGCTGGATCCCCGAGGACGCACTCCCCTGCACCTGGCCACCACGCTGGGCCACCTCGAGTGTGCCAGGGTGCTGCTGAAGCATGGCGCTGACGTGGGCAAGGAGAACCGCAGCGGATGGACAGGTGAGCAGGTGGCTGCTGCCCTCCTTCCTTCTGCAAACTGGCCTGGCACAGACACGGGCACGGAGATGGACGTGGGCATGAGCATGGACAGAGATGTGGACATGGACACGGGCAAAGGCGTGATCGTCTCACCCTGGTGCTGCAGCCCCCAAGGCGCTGCTCACGTGGTGCTCCGTGCCTGTGGCACCTGTGCGGTGCCCAGCTCTGCAGTGCCATGTGTGCCACGCTGTGCCATGGCCCTGGACATTGCCCCTTTTGCCCTACAGTCCTGCAGGAGGCTGTGAGCACCCGTGACCTGGAGCTGGTGCAGCTGGTGCTGCGCTACCGCGACTACCAGAGAGCCATCAAGCGCCTGGCCGGGATCCCCGTCCTGCTGGAGAAGCTGCGCAAGGTGCCTCCCTCGGCAGGGGCTGCGGGGGCTGGCTGTGGCCATGGGGCTCCCCTGACCCCTCTGTGCTCTCCGCAGGCCCAGGACTTCTACGTGGAGATGAAGTGGGAGTTCACCAGCTGGGGTGAGCTCAGGGCACAGCGTGGCTGTGGGGGGAGCGGGAATTTCCCAGCAGAGTCCCCCAGCCCCAGCATCCATCCTCAGGTCAGGGGTCACCCTTGTCCCCCAACATCCCAAGCTTGCAGGTCCCCATCCTGCCAAGGCATCACATTCCCCAGGTGTGTCCCCTACCTAGCTCACTGCTGGTAGCCCCTCTGGGGGTACAAGTGGCCCCATTCCCGGCTGGGCTATTGGCATCTCTCCCCAGTGCCCCTGGTGTCCAAGATCTGCCCCAGCGACACCTACAAGGTGTGGAAGAGTGGCCAGAACCTGCGGGTGGACACCACACTGCTGGGCTTCGACCATATGACCTGGCAGCGGGGCAACCGCAGCTTTGTCTTCCGGGGACAAGGTGAGGTGACACGGGTGTCCCCTCACTGGGGAGTGGTGCTGGGTGACACGGTGGGGACCGTGGTTGTCCTGACCCCATTCCCTGCAGACAGCAGTGCGGTGGTGATGGAGATTGACCATGACAGGCGGGTGGTCTACTCAGAGACGCTGGCCCTGGCTGGCCATGACCAGGAGGTGCTGCTGGCTGCTGTGCAGCCCACCGAGGAGCAGGTGATGGGGCGGCTGACGGCCCCCGTGGTCACCACCCAGCTCGACACCAAGAACATCGCCTTCGAGAGGTGGGCTGGGGTGGCACCGAGCCCACCCCCGGGGGTGCTGGCACCCTGGGCTGTCCAAGCAAGCTCATGGTGCCATGTCACCCCAGGAACAAGTCTGGGATCCTGGGCTGGAGGAGCGAGAAGACGGAAATGGTGAATGGGTATGAGGCCAAGGTGAGGGGCAGGGAGTTGAGCTGCCCAGGGGGGTGTGGTTGGTTGCAGCTGTGAGGCGCCCACCTCTGCCATTCCCCCTCCTTGGGCAGGTCTATGGCGCTTCCAACGTGGAGCTGATCACACGGACACGGACCGAGCACCTCTCAGACCAGCACAAGGGCAAGAGCAAAGGTGGAGCCAGCACGGGCTGGGCGGGCAGGGCTCCCCTGGCTCTGCCCTCACCCCCTCCTCTCCCACAGGCTGTAAGACCCCCCTGCAATCCTTCCTGGGCATCGCTGAGCAGCATGTTGGGCCCAACAATGGGGTGAGTGTCTCAGGGGCTGGAGGGGTTGGCCCTGCAACCAGACCTCCCCTCTCACCCCACTGGGCTGTCCCCCCGTGCAGACCCTGATCACGCAGACACTGAGCCACGCCAACCCCACCGCCATCACCCCTGAGGAGTACTTCAACCCCAACTTCGAGCTGGGCAACCGGGACATGGGACGGCCCATGGAGCTCACTACCAAGACACAGAAGTGAGAGGGGGAGGAGCAGACAGGGACTCCCTGTGTCCCCACCTCCACTGCTGCAGAGCTCTGGGGTGGGCACAGGTGCGGATCCTCAGCCCAACGCCTGTCCCTGGCAGGTTCAAGGCGAAGCTGTGGCTGTGTGAGGACCACCCGCTGTCCCTCTGTGAGCAGGTTGCCCCCATCATCGACCTCATGGCAATAAGCAACGCGCTCTTCGCCAAACTGCGGGACTTCATCACCCTGCGCCTCCCACCCGGCTTCCCCGTCAAGATTGGTATGGATTGGGCTCTGCTGCTGACCTGGCTGGCACAGCCAGCTTCCCTCCTCGCTTTTTTTCCCTTTTCCTGCAGAAATCCCCATCTTCCATATCCTCAATGCACGAATAACCTTCGGGAACCTCAATGGGTGTGACGAGCCAGTCAGCTCCCTGCGGCACAGCCCCAGCAGCGAGGCACCCTCACCCAGCAGCGACTCCTCCAGCGTCAGCAGCTCCAGCTCCCTCAGTATGTGGGGGGAACATGGTGAGGTGGGAAGGGGTCCCAGTGGGGTCAGGGGTCACAGCAGGGTAAGGGACACATGACAGGCGGGGTGGAGGAGGAGGGGGACCCACAGGGTGCCCAGCCAGGCCAGCTCTGGTCTCCCCACAGCCTCGTGCCGAGCGTGTGAGATGGACCCGGCGCTGTTCGAGGTGCCCCGGGGGTACAGCGTGGTGGGCACCCACCAGGACGCCCTGCGGGAGGATGAGGATGACCTGCTGCAGTTCGCCATCCAGCAGAGCCTGCTGGAAGCGGGCAGCGAGTATGACCAGGTGAGCGCTGCCACCCCCTCACCTCTTCCTGTCCCCCTGGCTGAGGGTCCCTGCTGCCCACCCATCCCGATGCTACTTGGGATTCTCACTCACCCCATCTCTCCCCGTCCCTGAATCCCAGGGATTCCCAGTTGTGGGTCAGAGTCCATGCTGGGGGGCTGTTTTTTGAGGTGCCACCCTCTGTCACGGACCACAGGTGACCATTTGGGAAGCACTGACCAATAGCAAGCCGGGCACTCACCCCATGTCGCACGAGGGCCGCCGGGGAGACAGGTTGGTAAGGTCTGGGCAGCCCCCCTGGGGGGAGTGGGTGTGGGTGCCACGGACCCACGGGGACCCCACTGAGCCCCTGCTGCCCCCCAGGACTCCCCAGCACATGGCATCCCCGCGTCCCCCCGTGGCCCCATCGCCGGGGGGTGGCCGGGGGCCCAGCGCCCTGTTCCCCAGCTACGCCGAGCAGCTGCGCCTGGCCATGGCGCTGTCGGCGCGGGAGCAGGAGGAAGCGGAGCGCCGGACGCGCCAGGAGGAGGAGGATCTGCAGCGGATCCTGCAGCTCTCGCTGACGGAGAAGTGACCCCGCACCCCCACTGAGCCCCTCGCCCACCCCAGTGGGGATGGGGACGCGGCCAGGGCTGTGTTTGGGGGCACAGAGGGGGAGCGGTGTGGGGGGAGCCGGTCCAAGAACTGCGGAGGGCAAATGGGGGAAGGGGGGAACAGGATCTGGCCCTTGGAAAACATCCCCAGAGCTGGGGCAGTGTTGGGGTGAGGTGGGGGCACCCCACAGCAGCACAGGGTTGGGGTGGCTGTTAACCCTACACCTGGGGTGGCAGAGACCAGGGAGGGCAACTCCACAGACTGTACCCCTTCTCCAGGACAGCCACCCTATGGGGTGCTGCTCAGCCCCTCACCCCAGGAAGGTGGTGGGGGGCACATCCTGCCCCAGATGGGTGAGCTGCCAGTTGCGTGGGGTCCCGGGGTGCCCCTAGAGCCAGGGAGCTCTGCCCAGCTCCCTCTTCCTCCCCTGCCCAGGCGCTACCAAGTGCACTTACCCGGGAGCTGCTCTGCCTGCCAACAGGGGTGGAGGCTCAGCCCTGTTGTACCCCACAGCCAGCAAGGGGCTGCACAGCCGCTCCCCCACGGCACGGGGACTGCTGGGGCAGCTGAAGGGGTGCCTGTGAAGGGCGGCCCGGTGTCACCCCCCCTTACCCCTGCTCGCACCCCTCCACCCTGCCCGGACGCCCCTCCTTGGCAGCGCTGCACCCCCCCCTTCCCGGGCACTGACCCCGAGAGAAACCTTATGTCAAATGGTGCTAACCCCGGCCCCCTGCCCCGGCTGCTCCCCCTTTGCACACGGGGGGCCGGGGGCTGTGGGGTGGGGGGAGCTGGGCTCGCTCCCCTGGGACTTTTCATAGCTGGTGCCCCTCCCTCCACCCACCCGTGCACCCCACAGCAACATCTGGGCCAGGGCCGGGGGAGCTCGAGCAGCTCCGACCGCGGCCAACACCAATAAATGCTCTTTAATGTTTGTCTCTCTCGGCCTCCCTCTGCCTGTGCCGGGGGTTCGCAGGCAGCGGGGTACAGGCAGCACCCCTGACACGGTGGTCCCTCGTCCCCGGTACCTGCCACGCAGCCAAGGGTGGCTGAGCCCTTTATTAAAGGGGTCCAGGAGCAAAGAGCCGGTTGGGAGCAGCCGCTGAGGGGGCCGATGGGGCAGGGGAGGTGAGGGGCGATGGGGTGGGGGTGTAGCACCGTACACAAGCACATCCTGGGCTGGGAGGCTGCTGGTGCCCAGCGTGCAGGACCCCGTGGAGCGATGCTGGGCAGCCCCAGCCTGCGGGCACTGAAGAGGGAGCAGGATGCGACTGATGCCAGTGACTCCCTGCCCCCTCGGCTCCTGGGGAAAGAACTCGGCTCCGGGCTCCTGCCCAAGGTGGGGACTCGGCTTTAATCCCCGGGAGGCCGGGGCAGTCCTGGCCCTGCCCGTGGTCGTGGCCGTGGCCACCGCGCTAGTCCGTGCCGTTGGTGAACTGGCAGAGTTTGTTCTCCAGGTCGCAGATGCGCTTCTCCTGCGCTTGGACCGTCTCCTTCAGGGCACGGATCTCCTCCAGCACCTCCTCCAGGGCTGGCTGCTGCAGGGAGGGTGGGACACACAGGGTCACCGACAAGTCTGGCCCCTCTCACCCCACCCCAGGGAGGGAGACAGCCCCACTGCCACGTCCCCATCCCCCATGGACACTCACAGAGAAGTCGGAGTCGCAGGTGGAGTGGCTGCGTCGGGGGCCTGGTGGGGGTTTGCTGTCCAGGATGTTCTTCTTGACCACCTTCAGCTCCCGGTTCTTGATGGGGACATATCCATCCCGCAGTGAGATGAGGATGGGCTCTGCGTCCTTCCCCGACAGCCACTCATCTGCCTCCAGGGCTGGCTCGGGGCCTGGCGTGTCAGGGTAAAGGTCATCCTGGAAGAGATCTGACTGCGGGAGGGAGAGGGACCATGGTGAGATGTGGGAGGTCTCCCTCCAGACCCCCATCTCCCCTGGGACCCCCCCAGGCTCACCTTGCGTGGCACCGTCATGACAATGGGCTCGCACTTGCGCTCGTGCAGCTTGAAGAACCTGCACGGGGCAAAGGCAGTCAGGGCCCAGCTGACCCCCCCCGGCCTCTCTGGCTCCCCACAGCTCCCTTGGCTCTCACCTGGCGATCTCACACTTGCTGACATCCAGCCCACGCTTGGGCATGAAGCCCATGCCCCGCTGGGGCTCCTTGCTGCTGTAGGTGTTCAGGTAGTGCACGTAGGGTGCCTCATCCGTGATCTCAAAGTACCGGATGCTGCTGTCACCCTGCAGGAGTGGGGACAGGTGTCAGGAGCCCTGGCACCCTTGGGGACAGGGTGGCATGGGGGGTGCACCCCGGGGAATGGAGGTTACCTTCCCGCAGAGGTAGACGATGCTGGAATCGGCGTCGTAGAAAGGCAGCAGGACCCCATTGCTCGTGTCCATCTCTTGCAGGGCAATGGGCTCCTCAAAGTTGTTCTGTGGGGCCGGAGCAGTGGTGGAGGGGTGTGAGCAGTGACCCCAAACCCCCTCCCCTGGTTAGTCACACACATTAGCCACGGCACACTGGGGGACTGGGCTTGTCCCCTCCGGGGTACACAACGCCCCGGGCAGGCAGCTTGGCATGCCCCCCCAGCCCCCCACCCCTCTCCTGTTACCTGCAGGGCTGGGTACCCCCCAGCCTGGCTGTACCCCCCTTCCCCAGCACTCCCTGCCTCCCAGCCCCCTCCCCACCCCAGCACAGCACGGCACACTTGGGAACTTGGCATCTTTTGGGAGGGGGATGCAGCAGACAGCCCATCCTGGGGCAGGGGGGCTGGCAGGGGGTCTGGGGGCCAAGTTCCCAGGGCAGCACTCCATGCGGCCTCGTTACCGGGTCCCACAAGCCCAGCTCCCGCTGGCTCATTCTGGTAAAGCCCGTGGTAAAGATGTGTCCTTCCCGTGTGAAGATGGCCCGCACGGGCCTCAGCCCTTCGTGGGGGGCAAACCTCTCCTGGGGGGAGGGGGAGACAGTCAGCACGGGGCATGGGACGGGGGAAAACGGAGGGGGTCCGGATCTGTCCCCCAAAACGGCCGCTGAGTCCTATTCCATGGTGCTCCCTGAGCGCACGCGTTGCCAGAGAGTATCCCCAGCACCCAGAGCGTTCCCGGCTGGGCTGAGATCTGTGGGATTGGCGCTGGCCAGGCTGGAGCTGCTGTCTCGTACCAGGTCCCAGAGGCCCAGCTGCCGCTCGCTCATCCTGCTGAAGCCCGTGGTGAAGATCTTGCCATCGGCCACGAAGATGGCGCGGATGGGGCGGGTGCCGTCGTGCGGTTTGGTTTTCTCCTGCGCCGGCGTTAGCGGGTTAAATCAAACACAGAGACGCGCGGTGTGGGGTTAGTAGGGTCAGGCAGGCACTGGGGGGGACCCCGCGGTGGGACAAGGGGGACACAGCAGGGGCACTCACCGCTATGATCTGCTGCTTGCGGGGGTCGATGACACGGACCTTCTTGTCCTTGCAGGTGGTGACGAGGAGGCTGCCGTTGCGGTTCCAGCCCACGTTGTAGATGAGGTCGGTGTGCATGTCATCCAGAGCCAGCAGCATCTCCCCAGTCCCCACATTCCAGAGGATCACCAGGTTGTCACAGCCTGCAGAGGACCGAGGGGGTAGCTGCTCTCACCCCATGGATCTCCTGTGACCCCGGCGAGGGTGACCCGGGACCCCCTTACCTGCGCTGAGCAGGACGTTGCGGGCCGTGGGGTGCCAGGAGATGATGCTCACCCGCTTGGAGTGTCCCTCCAGTGTCACCACGGGCTCCGTGATGTTGCGCACCGGGACATAGTCGGGGATCTGCCACACCTGGGGGGAAATGGAGAGCGGGGCATTGGGGATCACCCCGTGTGTGAGCACTAAGCGGATGAGAGAGCCTCAGAGCCAATTAACCTCATCATTAATCCCGGCTCAGCCTGCGGGGAGTGTGGCGAGGGGACACCAGAAGCGCCTCCATCCTGGGGTGCATTCCCAGTATTTGGGGTGCTGGCAGGCACAGGGAGGGGGGCACGGCCGGGGTGCAGCCCCCAACCCCCCCCCCAGCTTTTCCTACATGCTGAGTCGCCAGGGAGGGTATATTTAGCACAAACTGCTGCATCATGGAGCGAGCAGCCACCGCCAGCGCGAATGCATGGCACCGGGGCTAAAAATAGGCCAGTGACACTTCACAGGCGGCAAGGAGAGGGGGGGGGGGATGCTCTGCATCGCTCCCCCAGCACCCTCCACCCCCCTCCCAGGCGGGGCCCAGCCCCTCACCATGACGGTGGTGTCCTCCGAGGCGCTGGCGATGACGTTGTCGTTGTGGGGACACCAGTCGATGTCCAGCACGGGCGCCGTGTGTCCCGTGACCAGCGGGTGGTTCTTGTCCACCCGTCCTGTCTGCAACGGTGAAGGGCCGGGGTGAGTTCCCCAGGAGAGACCCTGCCAGGTACCCCCAAAGCCCAGCCTGGCCACCACGTGGCGTTGTGACACAAATGGGGACATACAGGGGATGCTGGCGGTGGCCAGAGGTTTGCACCTGTCTTGAAGGGGGAAACTGAGGCATATAGGGCAAGTGGGGCTCAGCTGGCACAAGGCCTCATAGGGACACAGACGGGAATGATGTGAGCCATGAGAGGCTGTTTTGTGTCTGCTCTGATGGCAAGGAGGGGTTGGGGACCCTCCCTCCATCTCTCTGCCAGGGTTGGCAGGGCAGACCATCACTCCACTGTGTCCCCAGGGAATCAGGGCTGGGGAGAAGGCAGCTGGGGGTTTCCCAGATCACCTCAATTGACAGGGATGTCACGCCCGGCAGGTGCCAGTGATCACCCAGGTTGTTCCTGCCTGAGCCCCCCATTGGGGCAGAGCTGGGGGTCTCTGGGGCCACAGCAGCTCCCCAAAAGCAAAACCCATCAGCACGATCCCCTCAGCACATCTCAGCAGTGTGGCCAAACCCCGGCATCATCCCCACTCACCTTGGCAAGGGGCAGGACAATGAAGGCCCCGCCACCACCAGACTCCACAATGATGGCCACAAACTTGGGGTTGACGGCGCAGAAGGAGCTGTCACATGTCACCTTGGACACACGGATGTCCTCGTACATCTGGTCTGCCTTCACCGGCTGCCCGAACACGTGCCGGAACTTGCTCTGGCGCACCACGCGGCGGCTCATGGCTGGGGGGACAGGGTCAGGCCACCACCTCCCCACCCTGCCACAGCTTGGAGGGGTTTTGGTCCCCTCAGGCCCCGTGCTCTGAGAGATTCCTCCTACTCTGGGCATAGCAAGAAGCCTGGGAACGCTGGGGTGGAGGGGGATGAGGATGCGAGATGGTGCCTGATGTGGCCCTGACCCCACATCAGGGAGCAGGGCCAGCCCTTGTGCAGGGATTTGGGCGTGCTGCAGATGCTGGGGACTGTCAGCTGGTGGCCAGAGTCACTTCACATGGGTCAGGGACTGGCCATGTCACAACACAGAGCTGTGCTATGCCCCATGGCTGTGCCATGTCCCGAAGTTGTGGCATACCCCACGGCTGTGCCATACCCCACATCTGTGCCATGCCCTGTGGCTGTGCTGTACCCCACTCTGTGCTATGCCCCGTGGCTGGCTCTGGGGTTGGCACATGAGCTGCTGCAGCAGAGTAGCAGGGCAGAGAGGACTTTGGGGTCGACATAAAGGTGCCATGCACGAGGTCACAGCTTGTCCCCTTGTATTCCATCCTGCATCAATGGCCTGAGTCTCCTGGCTTGACCCAATATCAGGAGAAGGGCTGTGCCTCCAGAGTTGCCTGTGGGTGGCTCACGCCTCCCTCCATGGATCCCTGTCCCGTGGCACGGATCCCTGCCACCCACTCTGCACCCCCACCTGGGTAAGGGCTGGACCTGGCACAGAAACACAGCCCCATGGGCACACTGAGGTGTGGAGGAGCCCCCCCGTAGCCCCAATGGGGTCTCCAGCCCTCAGCCACAGCTGGGCACGATGCCCACGGTCACTCATCTCCCTCCCCAGCCTGTGCTGCTCCTGGGACCTGGCCCAGAGGGAGACTGAGACACTCAGGACCACAGAACCCTTGGGGCTCTGCAGCACCCACGAACCTCTGGCTACCCTGGGGAATCCCCTGTGCTCTGCTGGGTACACAGTCATTGTCAAAGAGCCACATCCAGCCACCTAACCATGGCCAGGCACCCCTCTCCCCAGCCCACACAGCCGATGTGGGCAGAAGCAGGAGCAGATCTGCTCCTCCATGTCCCAGCCGGCGGATTTTGTGTAGGGCACATGCAGCGCCCTGCCAAACCACCTCTGCCCAGTCCCTGAGTGTCCTCGGAGTCCTCACGGCACTTGAGCATCATCTCTGGCTTGGCTGAACGGGTTGGAGCTGGTGCTAAGGGGCCCAGAGCCCGGCTACCAAGCGAGGCTGGATAACGGCACTGCTGGTGTCACTGCTGGGGTCCCCAGCCCCGGGGGGCAGCGAGTCGGCTCCGTGGGGACGCTCTCCCAGCACCTCAACCATTGCCAGTGGGAGCAGAGCCTGGGGTGTCAGCATGCAGAGAAGGAAGGGACGGCCTGGCAAGGGTGCAGGCAGGGGGTGGGGTGCAGGTGGGTGCAGATGTGGTGCGGGCAGAGTTGAGCAGGGTGCAGGAAACGTGTAGGGTGCAGGAGGGGTTGGTGGGAGCAGGTGAGGCGCTGGCAAGGTGCAGGCAGGGCTGAATAGGGTGCAGGTGTGGGGTGCAGGCATGAGAGCTGGGTGGGGTGCAGGCAGGGCGCAAGCGGGGTCGGATGGGGTGCTGGCAAAGAGAGGTGGGGTGCAGGTGGGGTGCAGGCAGGATACGGGCAGGGTGCAGGCAGGATACGGGCAGGACAACCCCGCTCCCCGCTCCCCGGCCGTGCCATTACGTTGCCACAATTGAATCCGCAGCGACTGCTCGGGAACGACCAGAGGTCACTGTCCAAATATAGCCATCTCCGCCGGCGGGCGGCGAGGGGCCGGGGCCCGGGGGGCTCAGCCCCGCTCCCCGCGTCCCCCCGTCCCTCCCCACCGCGCTCCCGCCGCCCCCGCCCCGCGCCCGGCTCCCACCTGCGCTCGGCGGCTCCTCCGCGCCCGGGCGCGCCCGGCTCCGCGCTGCGCCCCGCTCGGCTCCGCTCCGCCCGCTCCGGCCGCGCTCAGCCCCGCTCCGCTCAGCTCCGCTCCCCCCCGGCCCGGCCCGGCCCGGCCCCGCTCGGCTCCGCTCCGCCCGCTCCGGCCGCGCTCAGCCCCGCTCCGCTCAGCTCCGCTCCCCCCCGGCCCGGCCCGGCCCGGCCCCGCTCGGCTCCGCTCCGCCCGGCCCCGCTGGGCTCGGCTCGGCTGGGCTCGGCTCGGCCCCGCGCGGTGCCGCTGCCGCAGAGAACAGCTGAGCCGAGCCGGGCGCCGGGGCCGGCACAGCCCCCCCGCGGCGGGCACCGGAGGGGAGGGGAGGGGGGGCCCGGCCCGGCCCCGCCTGCCCCCGCACCCTGCCCGGCCCCCCGCTCTGCCCGCGGGGTCGGGGGCAGCCCCGGCACGGCCGCCCCCCTCTACTCCCACCCCAAAAGCAGAGGGGTCCCAAGGGTGCCCGCAGCCCCTCGGTGCGGTGCGTGGGAGCCGCTCGGGCTGGGAGATGGGGGGCAGGAAAAGCCCCCTGAGCCTTTCTGAAGTATTGGAAGAAACCAAGGGGCGGGGCATCACCCCGGGGGTCAGTTCTGCACAGAGTGTGACCCTGCGATGGGTCCCCCCACAGCCCAGGGCTAGCCCAGCCCCACAGGGACCATGGCCATAGACGGCCCCTGAGGGTCCCAACACTCATAGCATCCCACGGGGTCCCCACTCCCCTCAGGAAAAAGGGGTCTGCAAGCCCACCTCAGCCCCAGCCCTGCAGGATGGTTACAGGCACATCCAGAAACCAGATTTGGGATTTAGTGAAGCCCAGCCCTACAGGGATGCCCTGGTCCAAGGGGATTAAGGGATTGTAGGGCTCAGGGACCAGAGGGAGGGGAGCGGTGGTTCCTGGAAAGGCAGCAAAGCCCTGGACCCTACAAGGGCACCGTGTGGAGCTGGATGAGCATTGGCTGAGCGGGCAGGAGGGGGAAGCTGGCAAAAAGGCAGGGAAGAGGTGACATCTTTGTTTGCCCAGCCAAAGGGGTGGCAGGGAGGGAGGGGGCTGCAGAGGCACCCCTTGCTCGCCCCATCCCACCATGGCCCTGGCTCTCTCCGTGTTTGGGGATGCAGCAAATGCCATGTCCTGTGTCCATAACTCCAAGACATATCCTCACCAAGTGAAGAAAAGCCTTTCTCAGCTGGTGCTGGGGGAGCAGGAAGGGATGGGGCAGCCCAGAGACATTGCCAGACCCACAGCGACAGCCCTGCAGTGACAGCCGTGCTGCCCTGGCCCCAGACCCCAGACCTGGTGACCACTCAGTTCCGGCCTGGTGGGAAGCTCCTGCATGGGTGGTGAGGCTGAGCCCAGGGAATTTGACTTTCTTCTCAAGACCCTTGCCCACAGCAAGGCCACAGAGACCTTTGCACTGCCTTTCTTGCCACAACAGAGCAATACCAAAACCTGGGACAGGTTGTTCAGTGTCCAGTTAAAATCTCACATCCCCCTTGGAGCTTAAACCCAGGACCTTCCTTCCAGTTCTTGTGTCTGCAGTAGTGCAAGGAGAGCACCTGCAGCATCCCGATATTTTAAACACAGGACCCCTGGAATCCTCTCTGCATGATCTGGAAGTACCTCTTGCTTGGAAGCACTGCTCCATCACTTGGGACAGGATGGGGCCACCCAAGAGAGGGAACAACCCTGCTCTGGCTTTCCAGATCCCCACTGACATCACATGTTCTGAGAGCAGCACAGATCACTCCCTCACTCCTAGACCCGATCCCAAACAGGAAGCCACACACCTTTGTCATCTTCAAAATAAAACTTTTATTCATTCGGTAACAAGAACATTGAATCTGCACATCAGTGCACAAGTTCACATTTAAAAACAGCTGAGCACATCGGTCATAAAGTCTTTAGGGGGAAAGGGGACAATCCCAGCCACCAAGGAAGATCCAGGAGGGGCAGACAGAAGCGCTCTCCTCCCTGACTCGCAGCCCCACCGCCAGCTGCTCGGCCCTGGACAATCCCTACAAACCAGCGCACGGACGTCACATCTCCATAAAGGAAATTAAAAGGCACTGGCACCTTCTCTCGTGCCAACAGAGATGTCTGCGGCACGGGCGGGCTGTTAGCACCTCTGGCAGCAGCACCAGGGCACCGAGCCCTGCACCAGCCCGGACCCTCCTGTGCCAGGCCAGCACCTGCCTCTGCCCCACACCAAGGGCTCGGGGCTTTGCCTTGGGGAGCAGTGGGGGGTTTGTGTGGAGCCAGGGCCGCATTAAGGCAGGACGCAGCGTGCGGGGAGCAGGGCCCTGCGGTGGGTATGGCTTCCTCCTGCCAGAGAGCTGCCAGGAGCCCCCGGCAGGTGCAGCGCCCCTTCGGCCACGGATTCCCAGCTCGCTCCTCCCAGGGCCCCGGAGCAGCCGGAGGTGGGACGGGATCCCTTCCACCAGCCCTTTGCTGGCAGAGGGACACGGAGCTAATCCCTGCTCTCCGTTTAAACATCCAAGTGACCCAGAGAAGCGTTGTCACCTCCTGCCACCCGCTGGGACCGTGCCCCCAGGAAAGGGCCGAGAGGGGAGAGATTTGTACAATTCCTCAAGCAGACCGGACACACACTCACACACACGCAGCACCCACACACACACCACCGAGTGCAACAGAACGCAGTGTAGAACCAGTTTCACACACGCAGTCCGTTTGTGCAAGGCTCACACGTTACAGTACGGCCGGGACGGGGCAGCGATGGCTGGGATATTGTACAGGAGTCAATGTAAACAATAAAGCATCCTCCGAGAGGCTTCGCCAGAGACCAAAGAACAGTTGCTTTGTACAAAAATGCCCTTAAAACAACACGTTTCTCCCAAACCCCCTCTACCTGCGAGGCTTGTCAGCTGCTGAGCACCCTGGAGGTGCTGCTGCTCCCCGTGGTGCTCAGCGGGTCACAAGAAGCTCTTATGGGGTGGCTACAGGAACCAGGACAGAGTCATCACCCTCCCACGAGCCATCAGCATGGAGAAGGGACAATCGTCCCCAGCAGAGACCTCTGATGCCAGGGGCTTAGTGGCTTCGTTGCCCAGACACTGGAAAAGGAGGTCCATACCCCTCCACAGTCTGTCCCCTTCCTGCCATCCTGCTCAGAGCCTCCAGACCTCCAAGGCCTTCATCACTCTGCAAGAGAACCACCTTTCCCGACTCCCTCTGCCTGCCCACAGCCTTCTCAGAGAAAAACCAGTTGTGCTGGGCCAGAGCCAAGGACAAGGGGACAACAAAGCACCTCCCTGCAGGGGCCTCTGCCCCTCTGCTGCTCTCCCCAGCTGAAGTACCCGAAGAGCAGCTGAGTATTGGAAGGAAGCAGCATTGCTGATCTGCAATGAAGACCCTTCCTAGAGGGTGCTTCTCCTGAGATCAAGCTGGGCAAAGAAACCCAATCCTTTTCCTCCTCCTACCTTCTCAAAGGAAAAAAATTCAACACAGGGTTTTTCCCTCCCCAGATCCTTGTGACCAGGACATGCTGCCAGCCAAGCATGCACCCTCCAATGCAAGGCTGGTGGCCACCAGTGCCTTGCACCCGTGCAGGGGCAGGCAGGCATGTCCTTGGGGTCAGAACGGTGGCAGTGGGGCCTGATGAGGTTTGTGGGGGAGGCAAGGACTGAACCTGTCCTTCTCCTGATGACATGAGCCACTTGGCCTTTCCAGTGGCTGCCCTGCTCCGGAGCCAGCTGGAGAGGGCTAGAAGAAGCCACATGTTTTTCAGTGTCCCAAAGAAGTATCTGGCCTCCTGGGCCAGAGGCTTGGGTGACTTCTAGTGACTGAAATGGCCTGGGATGACGTGCTGTTTGACCCAGGACAGGGCTGTGCTCCAGCACGGGTAACAACCCCCTGCCAGAGCTCAGGAAAGGGAGGGACAGTGCTCGTGGCTGCTGGAGCACAGGCAGGCTCGCAGACCTCGCTCAGGCTGCAAGGCAGCACAGGAGAATCCCTGGGGGCTGCAGGAGGGCAGCAGGGTGGCATTACCTTGCCAACCAGCTATGGGCTGAGGATACCCCACACCCCTTCCCCAGGGCAGGCACATGCTGCTTCCCAATACTCCAGTGCTGTGCGCTCCTCTCCACCTCAAGAGGAGTTTGTCTCATCTGAGCCTGCAAGGCTGTGCAGCTTCAGGGCTGCTTTCTAGGCATGGGCCGGGCTGCTGCTCCTCCCACACCATGTCCTCTCCATGCCAGGCTTCAGCAGCCTGAGCCATTCTGCATCTTCTCTTTGCTTTGCTCCTCCCCAGAGGGCAGGTCTGGGCCTCAGCCAAGCACCAGCTCGGACAGGACCTGCCACGGGACTGTGGACAGGACCCAGAGCTCCCCTTGGCCTTTCCCTCTGCTCCTACAGCACAGGGACAACTTGCTGATGCACACAGCTAGAAATGAGGAGCTTTGATTTAGCCAAACTGCTCAGAAACCACAAAATAATTTGCTGAAATTTGGAGCACAGCCTTCACACACAGCTTCTCCAGGGAAGCAAGAACCTGCAGAACGGCTCGGTGCAGCCAAAGGCTTTTCCACATCCAACTGGCACTCCTGGAACCCAGCTCCAAGCAGGAAGGAGACGGGCAGACACACAGTGCCTCTCCCACAGTGGGATAATGGGGGTTCACGCAAGACTGGAGGAGAAGGGACACATTTGGCATTGAGGCTCGCTATTGGAAAGGGAAGACAGCTTGTAATGTCAAATCCACTCCCATGTCTGTGCAGATCACAAAGAACAGCACTGAGTTTGAGTCAGGTGGGTTTGTTTTCCAGTTTACAGAATGCAGTCTTGCCCTTCTTTTTTTTTTTAAAAAAAAAAACATAGAAAAGACCCCCCAAAAATTCATATAAATATCATATATACAATTTAGGAAAAAAAAAAGAAAAAGAAAAAACTTTCAGAAAATATTTTCCCTCTGGGTCTAGAGTTAGAAGTGACAGAAGAGAGGACAAAGCTTTGCATTAAGGGCAGTATGTCATGTAACAAAAACAGCTCAAGTTTTGGGAGCCACCAGAAACACCCGTGAGCATGGCAGAGGGGAGAGGGAAACTCAGGCAGCACAAGAACAGCTTTGGGGCAGAGGGCAGGCAGTCGGAAGAGGGCAGAGAACAGATGATATGGCCATGAACTTGGAAGGCCCACAGCAGTATTCAAGTAATGGGAGGGTTAAAACCCTAATGAGGTTTGTTTTAAAAGAACACTGGCTTTGGGGGTAGAGGTGAACGTGGCAGCTCCTGAAGGAGCTCTGCCCCACCTCAGCACAGAGCAGAGAGCTCTGTGTGCCCCATGGCAGATGGGAGAGCTGGTCTTGTTGCTGCCCAGGGTTATTAGAGCTCATCCATTGGGAAGATTTACCCCTGTTTGCTCCTTATGGGGAAGCACCAGCTGAACTGAGCCCAGGGTGTTTGTCCTGAAGCAGCTGTGTGAGGGATCTGCCAGCATGGTGGAGTTCCAGTTTGCAGAATAAAAGAAAGGCCAAACAAAGGGACCTTGGCACAACCTTCACATTTACAGGGGCTGTCCCCCACCAACTGCCCAGCACCCTTTCAAGGCATGGGGAAAATTCAAGTCAGGAACTAGGATCTGGTTTTAAGCCCAACTCCACCTTGCCAAAGCAAGCCAACATAAATTCTCTCGTAATAAAGGTGTTCTTTTAAAACAAACTAATAACAACAACAAAAAAAAGAACATTTGAGGTTATCCGAGTTAAACTTAAAAAAACCCAAACAGTCCTGCAGTCAGAGTCACACACAGAAGAACCAACCCACACCTACATGCGCCAGGAACAGTAAAATGACAATATATATAAAATTAACCAATAAAGTGCATGTTCCTTATATTACACCTGCCCCTTGTGTGAAAGCAACACCACGGGTTCTGGGTAAGAAATCACAGCCAAGGGCCCAGGATCACATCGTGTTGTAGAGGGGATTGGTTGTCCGCTTTTTGTCATTGGTCTTTTTGAGCCTCCTCAGAGGGTGAGTTCTCCCGTGCTGCTGCCGTGGGGCGACAGCCAGAGCTTGAGATGGAGACAAGGAGTCCAGGACCTGCACCTGGAGCAGAGGAGGGCCCTCCCCGGAGCTAGTCCACGTCGGATCCGTGCTGGAACACAAACTCTGCTGGCTGGAGCTGCACTCTTTGGCGTACTGAGCCAGCGGCCTCTCCACCGGCTTGCTCTGGGCAATGCACTCGGCTGTTCTGAGCTGTTCCACAAAATGCTTGGTGGGCTCTGGGGAGGAAAGGTGATGCTTCCCACACGCGCTCTCCGAGCCCCTCTCCAACCTCCCCCCACAAAAGCCTCGACCGAGGGCAACGCAGGTGAGAAGCACGGGGTTGGCATTGGAAGAGGCTGACTCCCTGTCACGTAAGTCATCCTTGGAGAGGTCCAGGCAGTCCAGTTTGGCCAGGGATGCCGAGCGCTTCATGTGGGAGGGTCTGGTGAGCCCTGCATGCCGGATCCGAGCCTCTATTTCCTTGGCCCGCTGCTTGACCGGCCCGGGGCTGCTGGAGCGCTCCTCCACGCTGAGGCTGCTGGAGCTGTGAGGGAGGCTGTAACACAGGAACGAGATGTCCAGAAGGTCCATGTTTTCAGCATGCTGCCTGGTGAAGTCCTCGCTGCTCAGCTGCCTTGAGATGCCAGCACCGCCCCCGCAGAGAGGTTTGGGACCGTCCCTGAACGGGAGAGTCATGTCTCCCTCAGTGCCACAGGGCGTGACCAGCTCATCGTCTGTAGCCGTGCTCTGCTCGGTGACACCTTCCAGGTGAATGACGCAGGGGTAAGGACAGCTCTCGAGGCTGGCTGGGGATGGACAGGTCACCTGGGCAGAGGGAGAAGCAGCACCGAGGTGAGCAGATATCCCACTGCCTTCCTCGCTGGGGCAGCCCATGGTGAAGGCAGCCTGCTTGCGTACCGTGTGCTCCGGTGGCGAGGGATGTGATGGAGTCCTCTCTATGCACCTCGAGGGGTTCAAGTTTTCATCCAAAGACGGGGTGGCCATGGCCAGCCCGCCCTGCTCACAGCTTGTATCGGGGCGCTGCTCCGCAGGCTTGACCGTCAGAGTGTACTCGATGATTTCGATTCTCTTTGGGAGGAGGGAGGGAAGGGATGGCTCCTCCATCCCATCAAATGAGATCACTGTCCTGTGCTCTTGTGCCACTCCCTCCTGCCCCGGGCTAGGCTCTGTGGGCAGGGACTCCTGGGCAGGTGCAGGCAGGTGTCTGCCCACAGGCTGCTCTGCTCCAGGAGGCAGCGGCGTCTCCTCAGTGCCTGGACCCTGAGCCTTGTCTCCCTCCAGAGCCAGCTCCAGGGGCGGCTCCTCACTCTTCCCCCGGGGCAGGAGATCGGCAGCAGAGTCATTCCTGGAGTTCTTGCGGGTCGGTAAAGTGCAGGCTGGGGCCGTGTGCTGGTGCTCCTGCTCCTGCCTTAAGCGCTCCTCGAACTCCAGCGTGGCGCGCCGGACGGAGCCGGGGCACCATTTGGGCTCAGAGTTGATGGAGCCACGAGGCTCCTGCTGCTCCCCACCAGAGCTGCTTTCCTCCACGTCTGATTTACCAGAAGACAGCTGCAGAGATGGGGCTTCTTCCTGCTCAGGTGGCAGAGGGTCTTTCTCCTTTTCCTGGTGTCCAGCACAGGCTCCTTCACTCTGTTCCAACTTTTCTGATGCCCAAATCACCTCCACTGGCAGGTCATGCACCGTGTTCCTCTTTGGTGTCTGGCTGAGGTTGGCTGAACCCTCTTTCTGCTGGGCAGGTCCTGCTCCCTGGTTGATTGACTCGATCTCTGTGATAATTTCCTTCACAGAAATGGCGTTTTCCGAGTGGGATCTTGTGAGATGGCCTGCACCAGGCAGCTCAGGGACCTCCTGCAACACACAAACAGGAGCATTACAAAGTGCATCAGCTGTGCCAACACAGAGCAAACAGCAGCAGCAGGTTAGAGAAAATAGAGGTGCATATCCCCAAAGGAACAAAAAAGCATGTGGGAGTGTGTGGAGAGAGATCACCAGAGCAGTGATCACTAATGTAGATTCTTTTTTACTGTCTCTAGGACTGAATTTAACATACTCCAGGCTGGATCTTCACTTAGACTAAGATCTAAGAATCTTAACTGCCACAAACTGCAAAGAAAAGGTAGTGTCTTTTGTTTTTCTAAATGAAACAAAGTCCAACAAACAAAAATAATCTTAATACTGCTAAAAGTATTTTGAACTGAAAACACGACAAATTCTGCTCATGTATGGAACAGACAGAAGTAAAGCAAAAAGAATGATCAAGCATTGAAATGCTCTGGTTTCCCAGAAGAAAATGCCCAGGGACACTCCCAATCCCCACAGACACTCTGCCAAATCACAGGAGAAAGCAATGGCCTATTATATTTGGAAGAGTCTTATTGCCTCACATGGAGATGGAAAAGATTCAAGCAATGCAGGATGGAATTTAAATAAGAGAAGCTCCCAGAAAATGATGGCCTCGGACATCATCAATCCCTGTGAGAGTCCTGGAGGCTGAAAAGCAATTATGAGAAAAAGGTACCTAAATTTAGAGGTTACTAAATTTTGTCAAGACTATCTCTCTACCCAGGAGAAGTGAGCCATGATGTTCCCAATCCCATCACTCCAGACCTGGACAGGTTAATTTCTTCCTCCAGCAGTAGAAGCTCTACACCTGCCTTGATTTACTACCCCAATGCTGGTGCTTCCCAGCCAGGGAAAAGGGCCAGTTTTGTTCCATTCTTCCGTGGATTTCTCAAATCAGATAAGTATCTGTGCAGATTTGGGATTCTGGCTGGGCTCAGGGTCTGGCTACATTAGTGGGTCAAGTCCCACCTTTCTGCTCTCCTGATGCAAAACTCAAAAATAAGTTTCTCACGAGAACAGCACAGCAGGTCAGGTCAAGGTCGGCTTATGGCCCTGCCAATGCCAGCAAACTGATGTTTAAGGAAAAAGTGCAGAAAAGGGCAAGTATCTAAAAGGGAAGGAAGGGATAAGCATCTAGCAATCTCTCCCCAAACACCATGTCCAGTGAAAGCAGGGCTAGAAAATCCCATCCACAGCCATCCCACAGCACAAAACAGCCCACAGATAGGGTTGAGCAGCAAAACCTGAGCAAGTTATTTTAACCTTTTGTTGCTCTTCATCTGTGGAAGAGTCATCTGATGCCTGAGGGGAGTTTCCAGGGCTGTTTCTTCGAGCATCTGCACCTCCATCTGCAGCAGGTGGCACTTCCAGCATGGGCACCCTGGAGACCCCATTCCTCCCAGTCCCTTGCTCCTCTGGCCTGGAATGGGAGCAGGTGCGAGACCGGCTCTCCTGGGAGAGCTCTACGAATTTCTCCAAAGCGCTGAAGAAATCAATCCTGTCTGTGCTGAGGTCTGTCACTTCGGGCTGAGGGTTCTGTTGGAGACCTGGAGAATTTTGGTTTGGGGATTGGGGGAAGTCTTTTAAGCATGAAGTGAATTCTTCCATGGGAACCAAGTGCACGTTCATATCAGGCTTAAGGGCATCTTTTTCTAGATCGTCCACTGTCAGATCAGGAAACTCTGTTATTTCCAAGGGATGCTGGAGCTGCATTAAGGCCTCAGAAGCATGGCAGTTGTCAGGGGGGACAGAGTCTACACAACACCCTGCTGTACAACCATTGATATTGTTCAGGTTCAGCTTGTCCTCCATCTGCTCAGCGTGGAAGTCTCTGCAAGTAAACTCTAAGTGGATCCTTCTTTCCTTCACACACACGTCCTCGATCATGTTTGTGTCCTCTGGGAGCTGCTGCTCCCTGTCCAGCTCAGCTGAGTAGATGGGAGACATGGGCTGCTGGTTGTCATTGGTCTTGGCCTCTGAGATCTGGTCAGCTGAGGTGGTGATCTCCTTTTTGTTCAGCTCCAGCCCGGCCTTGCAGATGGGCTCGTGGTGATCCGAGAGGTCGCTGTCCGAGTGTGAGCGCCACAGTTTGTTGTGCCGCTGTTTGCTGTGGGGAAGGAGAGCAAAGGAAAACTGTGAGAAATTTCTACATACCACAGCCAGATACACCCTGTTTTAAGAGGACACAAACCAGAACAAAAGCTGTGCCAAATGCTGGAGTCAATGACCACAACTGTGGCTTCACCTGAACAGTTCAGGGCCAAATCTGCTGCTGGAGAAGCTGATCCAGTAATGAACCACTTTCCAGGAGCTAAATTTCATGGCACCATTCTGCTCCACACATCCCTCCCTATTCCTCAGCAGTGTTGGATCTGTCCACTCAACAAATGCAACGTTTAATTGACTGCAGAATTTGGTCCTTTCTCAGCCAGCACTGTTCCATTTGCAAGCAGGTTAACAGTGACCAGAAGAGGTAGAACCCCTTGTGCTGGGCACAAGCAGATGGTGGACACTGAATAAAGTCCAATTTCCCTCATGGTTCCTTCTCTGAATAGCTTCAATAACTGGCTCTTGTAACCAAGGGATGGGGCGGGATGAGTAGAGGCGGGTGTGTGCAAAAACACACAAGACATTCTCAAGAGTAAACACACAGCCCAAATTACCACCCACCTTCCACAGGAAGGAAGTTCAGAACTCCTCCAGCTCCTGGAAAGCCCCTCTAGGAAACTCTGAGCCATCAACAGGCCACGTAACTGCCAGTGGCATTGCATCACCTTCCTCACCTCCACCTGCCAAAAACTCCAAGCCATGCACCTGGGCTTACAGGGAGCCCTGCAGGCAACTTCTTGCCATGAAATGCCAGAGCTAGCCCAGGCTGCCAGGGTTTGCCGAGTGGCCATGGCCACAGGGATGTGTTTCCACCCATTGCCCCTAGGAGGAACACAGAAACCACAGAAAGCTCCTTGGAGCTGCAGGAGATCTTGCAAAACCTCTCCAGTCCTTTGCTAGCATGAGCAGGCGCTTCCAGACACATCCAGCGGTCACGGTAAGTTAATTAACAGACGGTACTGAGCTAATTACCATGTGCCAGTTCGGTTGTGGGTACCCAACAGCTAAGGAAAATAATCCACTGCAGATTTAGCTTTCCAACCCTATAATCAGTGACAACCTTCTCATGACACAGGGCAGAATCAGGTCCAAAGGGCAAGATCAGAGGCCAAAGACACTGTCCTGGGGTGCACATGCTCTGTCTCCTGTGAGTTTTGGAGCAGTTTGACAGTGGCAGCAGAAACCAGCTTGTCCCTGAGGCAGGTTCTTGCTTGGGCTCTGTATGGAATGTCATCTGACATCTCTGCTCATACAGCCTGGGGAACTGCTGGTGGTTTCTGAGGGCACTTCAGTGCTCAAATCCAGCTCTCTGCTGCACATTTGATTTTGAAAGTGAAAATTACCCTCCTGTGTGAGAACTGGCACAGATCTGAAAACCAAGCCAGACGTCAAGCACCACTGGCAGAGGTGTCTGTGCTATCTTCCAATCTGACACTTCCCTGGTCTGACAACCTGCATGAGGTGCAGGGTCAGAGAACAGGAGCCCACTTCCCTTCCCAGAGCCCACAGCCAGACCTGGACCTTCCTGGGCAACATTCCTGGTGCTTGTACCCACACCAGCTCTGGACCAGGAGCCCCCCATACCTCCCACCAACTCTCCAGGCTTGGGTATAAAACTGCAGTTGATTCACAAGCTGCACAAGGCACAGGAGATCCCAAACACTGGTTTCCTGTAACTTATCTATAACTAATAACAGAAACAGGCCTGGCTCAGCCTTGCTGTGTTTATCAACAGAGGGAGGGGACAGTTTAACTAACCCCAGGAAGTATGACAGTCCCAAAGAGCAAAACACACTTGTTGTTGTGACTAAAAGCAGGCAGGGGGTTTTCATTTTACAGCTGGAAAACATATCCCAGTTGCTATAACCCCAGCACAAAACCGTAACTGGATAGTGCGAGCACATGGCTGCCTTCACATACCTTCCCCCTGAAATTGGAGCAGTCACATGAGTGTCAATCTGTTGTTTTTTGTTTGTTTATTTTTGGGTTTTTTACCTGTCCTGGAATACTGCAGCAATAAACAAGGCACCCAGAGGGCAAAGCTAAATAACACAAAGAAAGAGGAAAAAAAGCAGTGTTGAGCTGAGAGAGGAAGTGGATAAAGAGGGACAGTTTGTGCAGCATGGAGGGGCCATTCCTTGTTTCAGTGAAGCTTCATTTACTGCAGGATTTTTCATCCTACACAGATGTAACACCCTGCTCTTGCATTTTTTAAAGCCTCACAAGTAATCCTGTTTGTGCCATTGTACAGGGACTTGCAGAGTAGGTCAGAAGCAGAGCTGTGCTTCAGTGGAAGGGAGGCTACATGCTATAAATGGTGGCAGCAGGAAAGATATACCTCCAAAAAATAAATTACTAAAAGACAGGGAAAAGTAATCCTTTAACAAAATGTTTGTACAGGGCGACTTTGCAGGCATGTCACCAGCTACCAGACTGGCAGATTACCCAAACCAACTGCCAGGCTCAGGGCTTAAAGATGTGAGATACCAGCTGCTCCCACACCAGACCTCCTCCTCACAGGTGTTCACCAACCTGTTGGTGTGTTTTTCACACCTAAAAAGCTTCTTTTTCTCAATCCAATCTACACCAATGAGATCTAATTTCCCAGTCCACTCAATGAACACCACACTGGTCAGGTCCTCTCTGGCCCAGAGTTAAGCACTGACCTTTACTAACTGGTGCCAGCAGCATGTTTAGTGTCACATGAGGCACCCAAGGCAGGTGTGGTGTTTCTCTCAAAGGGTTTCAGTCCAACAGGGAACTATTTTTTAAAATTGTCTATTCCATGTGATCTGTCCTGAGACTGGATACTACTTGGCTGATTTTTAGAAAGAAAAAGGGTCACTATGGCAGGCAGAGTTTGGGGAGCAGGGGAGAGGAAGGCAGGCATGGGAAGAGGTGGAGGATGGAGATCCTGTGGGTGTACCTGGCCAGGGAATAAGTTGGAAGGAGCCCTGAGGTTGTTTACCTATGTAGAATGGGAAAGAGGAAGCACATTCCAGTGACAGGGGTGCTTACACCAAGGGTTTGGTGTAAAAATTGGGAGTCCTGGCCTGGCCCGGTAACAGACACAGTCAGATTGGGAACAGACGGAGAGAAAAGGAGGAAGAAAAAATTATTACAATGAAAGAGAATAGAGGTCTTTGCAAGTGCATAGAACAGACATGAAGGGACAAAATCAAGCAGGGGACAGAGGTCAGAAGTGTGCCCGAAAGACAGCACATGAGTGACTGAGCTGCTGGAAATAACAGCATATAAAACAATGGCTAGACTCGACGTTAAAGCTGTTTTCCAACCTAAATGATTCTACAATAAGCAGGAACCTCACAATGGCACCAAAAAGCTTTGAAATTTACTATTTACTTTGGTCCAAACCTGCTAAGAGCCACCTCCTGTAGCAGGAGGCTCAGACTGGGTAACTGCTGCAGATCTGCTCCCAGGCAAAAGCACACCAGGATCCCAAACAAAATACCATAATCTGGCAAAACAAGAGTATCACTACCTCCTTCCTGCTGATCACGTGAACACATTGCTTAACACAGCCTAGAAACATGCAATATTTATATCTTTTTGCTAGTCAGGTGATAGGCTTGGGATTACAACACACTTGCCCATACCCAGGCCCAGCTCCAGACCAGCCTCAGGACTCCAGGCAGGAATAAACACCACTGTTGCAATGCACAGAACATCCTGTCCCCTCCCCTCACACCAACACTTACCAAAGGGATCTAAAATAAAACCAGACCAGCTGCTGAGGAGGGGCATGTTCAACAGGGAACTGTGAAGAGACAAAGCGAGTTCCCTGACAAGTGATGTTACAAGCAACAGAGACATTATTTATCTCTGCTGGAGCCTGCATAGCTCTGAATGCTGCACTCGGATAACACTTCATGGGATGCTACTTTCCAAAATCCAAACATCCTAGAAGTCAAACAGCCTCCTGGTTACACCCCTTTTCCCAGGCTCAGCTGGCAGAACCCTGAAAACAGAGCGCTCCCTCTCCTAAGATCCCGAGCTCGCACAACACAGTGATACAAGCTCTGACTAAAAGAATGGAGCCAACCATTGAAGTGTCACACCTCAACAAGGACAACCAGGATCATTCCTTCTACTCACCTGGCCAGCAGGATCCCTTGGTACTCCTCCAGCTGCCGCATGAAGCTGGGGTTGGGCTTGGTGACGGTGCGCCGTTCCTTCACGTAGTCGTACGCCCTGTCCAGGTTCCAGCCGTATTCCTTCATGGCATAGGCAATCACCGTGGATGCTGAGCGGCTCACTCCCATCTTGCAGTGCACCAGGCACTTAGAACCATTTTTCCTGAAGCGGGGGAAAGAACAAAAGAGGATCACTAAACAGAAAACATCTGACAAGCTTAAGGAAACAGCAATTTCTTTACCAGAGCTTTATCAAACATGTTTTCAACACTGTGGCCACAGCTGGGGTCTGGGATGTGATCTGATAATCCAATTTACAAACTGGAGCAAAACACACAAAGAAACTGAAGAACAAGGTCTTATTAATGTTTCTAAGAGATTTTGTTACAACAGCTCTTCTGAAGCTCTTATTGCAAAGTGGAAAAACACAGAGATACAGGAAAACCTCTGAAGACTAGTGTGGCACCCTTGAGCTCAGCCCAAATGGCCCACTGGCATCAAGCTGCATTCCAAGTGAAAAGAGAACTTGTACCACAAATGTGGTGTCACAATTTAGAAACACATCCCAGAGAGATACTGAGCAGTTCAAGGCAGCCTCTAGCACAGAGATGTTCTTTGATTGCAAACGACAACAAGAAAATGCTGTGATGCTACGTAGGCAAGGAGGAAAAGCAGTTAAGAAAATCAGCAGGAAAACAAAATGCTTAGTATATATCTTCTGAATGTGTATGTTGTGTTTTCTGAAAAGACTTACTTTGCTTTGGAGATGAATTTGTAGGTATCATTCCAGTAAGCCAGAAGATCTGTAGCTTCTTCATCATAAACCCGGATATTGTGGTATTCAAAGAGCCCAGGGAAGAAATTATCTATTTCTCGAGTCACATTCAAAATGTACCGTACCCTGCATGGGAACAGCAGAGAGAAACACAGCCAGTTCAGAGAGATGTCCCACTGCTACACTGCAGCCTGGCATTGTTTGCCAAAGGCATTTGGAAGTGCACTCTTGAACAGAACTCCTGGGAAACCAGGAATTAAGGCAAGGAAGCAGCAGCTAACACAGACAATAGGCTTTGCTGGGCACTTCAGAGCCTGATAACAGAGATCCATGGATAGAAACTTCCTCTGCATGATGTCAGGTCACACTGCCCACTACCTCTGTTCTGCATGTCACTTGTGCCACAGCAGCTCCTGACATTAGTGTTTGCACACCTCCTCCAAGTCCCTTTGTCAATCTCTCCTCCTGCTGCACCAAAACCACAAGAAGATGGAAGACGAAGCCTCCCAGTAACACCAGAGCTAAATAAACGCAAAAAATAACTGCAGAGAGATATAACAGACAATGAGCCACTGGGGAGGATTTATTTCTTATTTCTAAATTTTCTGGAAAAGAAACTGCTAGAGAAAGCCTGTGGTATTTATGTACACAGCACTCAGTATTTTTAGCCCTGAGGGTTACTTGTAAGATGCTTATGAAATGCACTTGTGCTGGGATATCAGGCAGAACAAGGGCACTGCAAGAGAGTGACATCCCTTTTCCCAAGCAGGTATGAGATCACTGGCAATCAAGTAGGACCTGTCAGACTCAAGGAAACCACAGCTAGACCCTGAGTCAATTCTGCCAGGCTGAATTTCTGAGGTACAGAATTACACTATCAGTTCAGCAGCATGATTAGCTTTTTCCACTGGTTTGGCACAAATAAGCCAAACCCATGAATAATTATCTTATTGCACAATCTTGGTGCTTACAACCACTTGGTCTAGAGAAAAGACAATCCAAACTTGAAAAGTAGAAACGGCAGGAAAGAGAGGAACCTGCTCAGCCTGAAAGCTACAGGACTTTACTTCCTACTGGGCCCCACTCAGAGGAACAAATGCTCTTCTCCACATTTTCCTTCCTGCCACAGCCTGGAGGTCCGAAGTGCCTCTGTAATCAGTCCAGAACCCCGGGCTGGGGCCGAGGGCACAGAGCCAACTATGCAGCATCCAGTTCAGTAACTGCAGCTTTTTACTACTTATAGCTATGAGCTTGCTGCCTTCCTTTGTTCTCCTTGGGGACGTTAGTCAAGGTCAGAAGTAAGACTTTTACTTTAGGGTGCCTGTTTGTGGGACAAGGAGTTTTGGAGGAATCAAGAGCTTGTTTGGATCTGCAAACCCTTAAGTAAGGCTCAGGTTACACAGCAGGGATGGAACAGAGTTTGTTGCACAGAAAAGTGTCAAGGCCAGGCTCTTGCTTTTCAGCTGATGGCCTGAAGCTACTCACCCTCTGTTCTGCAAATCTTCCAAATTGGAGGCATTCCATTCTGAGCCCTGCAGGGAAAACATGCAAAGGTACACATCAGGCAGAAGAAAGGCATGGCCAGGCAACTGGTGGAGGGAGGGGTGGTCACCAGTGAACCGGAGGAGGATGCTGACCAGACAAGGGTTGGAGAGCTGGGGGGACTTTGAGAACAGGGGTACACAACTGGTAACCAGGACTGATGCTCAGCACCTTCTCTCACCCCATTAACCAGATCCCTTCTGAAACAAGAAGTAGCTCTCCCAACAAGAGCCCAGCACTGTGTTGGCACTTCCTGCAAACTGCTGACAAATCAACCTCAGCAAGACAGGACCACTCCACCCTTTCCCTGGAGGCTGGTGCCAGTTCTGCCCCACAGAGGAGAAACTGCCTCCATTTAAAAACCATCCAGGTGCTCTTCACACACAAAACATCCATCTTGAACATCAAAGACAACAACACCTAAGCTCACTTGGGTTACACCTCTTCTCTCCCCATTCAAAGCCTGTGTGAGCACAGAAATGAAGACATTTAATTAACCCTGGCTAGGTAACCCTCTCCCCTCTGCAGCACACAGGGCCCAGAAGCTGCTTGCTTCCTGCTCAAACACAAACCCAACTGAGGACAAAACCACTCTAAGGTTTCCTTCAAAATTTAGAGTGCACAGTTCTGCTTCCCTGCCTAAAATGGCTCCCAAATAGAAAGATGATCGAGATGAAGATGACTCGATTTACCAAGACCTCGATTCAGTTTAAAGTTGTCTTTCAGTCAAGAAAGAACAATTTAATTCAGGCCTGGGAACCATCAGTTTCCACAGGTAGGAAGAACAATGCTGCAGGGGTGAAAGTCTTTTTTCCTGTCCTTTGATCCACAATTACCAACATCATCAGTTCTCTTATTTCCTGCTTAGTTCTTTCTAGCACTCCTTAAATGGGATCCCACAGGGCTCTTGCCTTCACCTGGAAGGAAACAGCTCCTTGCCCTTCTGAACCCTCACAACACAACCCTGTCTTGCAGCACACGTGCTCCTGGGTGAAGCTGGTGCCCAGCCCCACAGCAGCTGCTCTGCAAACACTTTTATTCTACACATTAACCACAGCTCTTCTTGGTGCTGCCTGCAAGCCTTGTTTGAAAGGTTTTCTCCCCATTAAATGCTCTCAGAGCCAAGACTCCAAACTCTGTAGTGGATCCAGCTGCATGTAACAGCTTTTGGCCAGCACCATAAGCCTGTAACAGGTCCCTCTCTCTCCTTATAACACAAAGTCTGCAAAAAAAAAAATCCATTACATCGTAGGTACTTCCAAGTTTCCTGGCTCTACTCCAACATGATATCCTGGGAGTGCTCACATTAACAGAGACCATCCCTTCTGAGCCGGAGACTGGGAGAGGCCCTCTCCATTTGCAAAGACCAGCTGGTCCAAGAGCAATGGCTTTGTTTAAAGTTGAGCCAACCTCACAGGCTAGACAGCCCAACCAAACCTGCGTCCGTGGCTCCGGGGCTGGGAAATCCAGCGGAGCGCTGACTCACCACAAGGAGCTGCAGTAATTAAGACAGGCCCCAGCAGCAACTAAGCAAGCAAAACATTAAACAGCAAAATGTTTATGTTTCCTTAAGTGACTTATCTCCAGGATTCTTTGTTATGTTACTCTGTTCTTCCTGGATCACACAAACTCAGAGTTTTCCATGTTACAAGAGCGTCATTCCACCTGGATGGACACACAGCTCCCCTCCCTCTTCGCTGTAGTTATGTCTTTCCCAAACATAAGAACTTGGCATGTGAGTACCCTGGACAGTTAAAGCCACAAAACTGGTCTTACATCAATGGAAACAGCCCGGAAAAACTGTCAGAATTAAGACCTTGTCCCTTCCATCCTTTAGGTACAGAGCTTGGTGCTACATGGCAAAGTTTAGTACAGCTAAAAAAAGCCAGGTTGCTCTTGTTCATTACTGCCTTGCTTAAGAGTATGTGACCCCAGGATCAAGCAACCTCTCCAGAATTCCTTTAACTTCCTCCAGAGGCCCCTGTGTCAACCAACTCAGAGTGAAAAGTGTTAGGACTGTTTACTTTCGTATTCACTGTTGGACTCACCAAAAAGACGTGATCAAATATCTGTGTGGGGCTGTCCATCTGCCCAAGGATCACAATCATTTCGTTGTCTATGAACTCTTTGAACTCCCGCAGGTTACACACCATCTGCATCTCCAGCTCCGTGCGGATCTGCATGGGTAGGAGGGACACAAGGAAGTGACGTGAAGCTTTTGTTCTGGCCTCTCTTCATGGCATGAAGCACAAAGCTCTTTAGTTTGCACAACAGCATTTCCAGTTCTGCACCCTCACCACTCACCTCTTTTGAGGTGATGTTCTCCAAATCTTTCTGCATCATGATCTCCCTTAATTTGGTCTTAATCAGCCGTTCTGTGCGTTCCCGCTCAGTTGGGCTGTCAGAAGAAAGCAACAGAGTCACTGGGAGGGAAAACAAACAGGATTCATGACACTTTTAAAATAGGTATAGACTGCATACTCTGTACAGAGTCTCAAACTCTCATACTACTTCCCCCAGGCACGTCCTCAGCTGGAGGGAATTCAGGTGACAGTAAAGCCCAGTTTAGATTCACAGTCGTATATGAAAGCCACCAACTGAATGCTCCTAATCCATTGTAGTCATCCAGAGAACCTCTGGTATTTGGTAAAATTTAAATTGGGAAGGCTGCATTATACCCTCTGGAGCAATATCTAAGCCTTTCCCTACCTTTCTTGGAAAGGTAACAGCTCCAAAACTCCTTACATGGAGAGACGAGGGCAGCTAAGCCTCTGCATTCCTCCCGCCTCTGCTGCCAGGGGCCTTATCACCAGCTGCAAAAATAGCCTGAGTAACACCAGGGGAAGCTGCAGCAGAGCAGCAGCACAGGAATGGCTCACCCAGCATCTTTAGAAGGGACCCAGCAGTGACATCTCCCACCACCTTTCCCTTTCTCTGGAAGGCTGCCAGGTTGGGGAGGGCATGGACTTACAAGTGTTCAACTGGTGGCTCACAAATAAAAATCATGGAAGTTCCTGGTTCTTTCAATATCATGCATTATTTCAGTATTCCATTAAGAGAATGCTGTTTAAGTGTCCCAAGGAAATAATTCAATTTCAAGGTGCCACCAGGGAAAGGGTGGGTTAGATAAAATTTATATACAGAAAGCTACAAGAAAATATTAATCTGTCAGCCTGCCAAGACTTTTCAGCCACCCGCCTTGTACATTAAAAAACAATCAAGTGTGAAGACTTGTTCACAGCTGAACAACTGCTTAGCATCATTATTCACTCTCTGGACTCCAGCAACAGGAAATATCTGGGAGCATAAATCAACCAAAGGCACTATTACCCTGGGAAAGCAGCTGGGGCCAGTGAAGTAATGACAAAATGGGCAAGTGAAAACCCTCACACTTGGCACCACATCTGGTCACAGACTACCTTTCAGGTTATATGGTATCAGTACTATCAGCAGTTACTAATGACAGGGGTGGTAAACCTTGAATATTGATACAGCCTATAAATTCTGCCTTTCTGAATTGCCTACCCATTTACCTCAGCCACTGTTTTGGACCATCCATCACCTGATACCCAAGCATTTAGCTGGAGACATCTTGGAACCTACACAGTGTCCTGCTGCACACTTGCTAAGTGCCTCAGAATGACAAAAACCTGCACTGCTCTTTGCCCCCACTCTTAGGTGTTTCAGATGGATGAGATGAGGATGTTTCTGAGCTCACAGGCTCAGAAGTCCATATATAAACACTTCACTTTACAGCAAAGTGAACTGAGTAAGGATAAAAAGACCATGTTAGTCTAAACATGTGTAAAGACACGTGCCAGTGTAAGAGCGAAGTCCAGAGAAACCTGTTCCTTCCAGGCCTGGAATCAGAGGACAAAACCAGCAGAGACAAGGCTGAGGTACACCACACCTCTCTCACCAGTAACATGGGACTTACCTTGCAGAAGCAAAGGTCTGCAAGCCTAAAGCCCAAGGTAAACAACTAAACTGAAAACAGAGGAGAAGGAGATTCAAGAGAGCCCCAGGAGGGCTAAACTTCCAATACTGGTGTTTACCTAACCACGAGTCCACTTATTACATGGAACAGGAAGCCTCTCCTTATTAATCCCTAATTAAGAGCAATCTCTTGTGGAAACTTTCTCCTCATGTGGGGACAGTCAAACCCCGGCTCAGCAGAGGCAGCAAAACTTACACATCTGTGAAGAGGGCAGGTGAGTCGGGCCGGTGGGACTGGACATCTTGCATGGCATTCCACTCGTTGACTGATGACTGGTCAGAGTTGATGTGGCTCTCATAGTAACTGACCCACGTGAGGAAGAGGCTCCCTGGATAGTAATTGTTGCTCCGTGCCACTTCACAAGCCTTATGCAAACTCTGCAGAGCAGACCTAGCAAGGGAACAACACTTGTAGGTTTATCATTTCTTCCTCAAGCACTAAACAGCAGCCAAATCCAGGATGCTGCTCTTGTCCCATCAGTTGGTACAAAGCCCTGGCACTGTGCACGAGGCTGTTCTGCAAGGCTGTGGATTCCCACACGCTGCCAGAGCTTGCATGTCTTAATTGGAGCATGCCAAAACAAGCTTGGACAGCAGTGAAGGTGCCCACAATTCAGAGGGCAGAGGCACCCATGTCTCTGGTTCCAAAATCTGCTACAAATACCCAAGCCCTAAATAAGATGCATAGAGTTTGTGTCCAAGACAGGGTGCTGACAGCTCCTACTGTGCCATCAGCTGTCCTGTGTGCAGGGCAGGGACACCCAGGAATCAGACATGCACAAGCAAGGGCTCAGGACTGCACTGAGATGTTTACGTGTCTGCCCTCTCTCACTGCACAAGGGATGTCAGAAGTTTCTTCAGCTGCTGCTGGGAAACAAATCCCCCTCTCCTATTTTTAGCTTATTTTAAATCTTTGACTGGGATCAGAAGGATCCAGGTCAAAATCACTGGGGTGACAGCAGCATCGCTGACAGGCAATGTATTTTTGCAATGCAAAGAAGCTTGAGCCAGAAATACTTTTATGATCACTACATGAACCACCCTAAAAGGAAAGAAAAATGCAAGCAGCTTCTCTTTCCTCTATCACAATGAACATATCTCAAAATATTTCAAACATATACTCAAAGCAATGTGACTTTGGTATCAAAGCAGCAGCCCTTTGCAAGGAAAATTACCCTATTCCTTCCTGCCCTCAGCTGAGACAAAGCTGCTGCTCACCAGCACTTACACGGTTTTTCCCTTTGGTACCAAACTTCCTTCCCTGTCTCTGAAGGAAACTTCTGTCTGCTCAAGTAAGTCTCAAGATAACAGTAATGTAAAGCAGCACCTGTTTTTTAAGAGCTTAAGCAGCCAAAACACCTGGAAAAAGGATCACTGGGATAGCTTGCAGTAAGTACTTACCACATTGCCTGAACAGAAACGGGCTTGAATATGTGCACCCTGTTATCTGTTGATACGCTGAACCCTCTGGAGAGAAGAAAAAAGACACAGTAAAAATGTGTCCCAAAAGTCACTTTTTAGTTAATAACTGATAGTCTGTAGCACATTAGAACAGCAAAGGTCTAGCCCTATGCATACACTGCTGAGTTCAGCTAGCAAACAGATCAAAATAGCACACTAAAAGCTCTAAGATAACTTCTTTAAGCAGCTGCTGTTTGGGAACGAAACTAAGACAGTGGGACAGTGCTGGGCTGTGCTGTTTACCTTGGCAACAAAAATTCAGTGCCACAGCTGAGAGTAAGAGTCCAGCTAAAGAGATCCTGGGGCAGCTACCAAGGAAAGAAAAGTCATTCCATGCACTGCACTGGACAGCCTGAGTAACTGGCACAAACAGGAGTCTGCAAGTCAGGTGTCTATTTGGCAGAGAAACATCATTCTTGCTTTAAGTTGGGCTGAGTGCTGCCTGCTGCAAGCATGATGGAGGAACATATAATAGGATCCCTTTAAGGAGCTTTCACTACACACCCACTCGCCAGTAAAAGCTCCTTTACTCCAGCTTAAACACACACATAAGCCACTGTCTCAGTGCGTGTTTATTCACAGATAAGTCAATTACTGGTGTTCCCTGCCACAATCACTGTGATTGAGGGCCTTTGAACCTACTATCCTGATACAGGGCAACAGAGGAGGACCTGCTGGACCTGCGAGGGCTCTGCAAGCACTGGAATCCTTCCCCATACACCTTGTTCTAAGTTGTATTAACACAGAAGACACAAAAAGCACTCACCCATCCCCATCCAGGTGGATCAAGGTGTCACTCCAGAGTGGCAGCACCAAGCCCATCGTACAAGTGCTACTGCAGTGAGAAAGAGAAAGTCAGTCTACCTACTACAGCACCATGTTATCATTTTAATTTCTAGTTGCATATTTTTGTATTCATTAGGAAAGATCACACTGTTGCTTCAGTGACAAACAGTGCCAGTGCTGTTCTAGAGGGGCCTGGCAAGGATCACTAACCAGATTCAGGGTACAGCACTATCCTTTCAAGCAAGCTTAAAGGGTTAACAGACCCAGAAGAGCAAACAGGATCCAAAAAACACTGAACTTTGTGCAGGTCAGAGGGGGCTCACAGTCTTCAGTCAGCTCAAGGCTTTCTTTACAGATTAATCCCTCTCAGGCTCAAGAGGTTTGGTTCTAGCTCTGATTTTGCAATGCACAGCTTTATTTTCTTGTTTGTCCCTCAGCCACAGCTGCTGGGGACTGGGAGCAGAGCAGTGCAATAGCAGGGTGACTGGCAGCATGGCAGGTTGGCAATCACAGCCTATCACCCGTGGCTGACTCCTGACCCTTCTCTGCCCTCCAACACCTCAAGAATGAGCACAACAGCCATCCTATATAGACACCTCCTGGCAATACCACTCCTCTCAGCTACTTTGCTCTTTGCCCTCACAGTCTCCTCAGTTTCTGTAAAGCTGAGCAAAAAGCCCAGTTAAAAGCAGAAACCAAGTAATGGAAAAAAGGCAGGGGCGGGGAACCCAACACAACCTGCTTCAGATTGTTAAACGAAAAGAGCTGAATCTCATAAAGCTGCAGAATTGCTCCAAAATCAAAGCAGCATCTTGAAGAACTGAATTCAACTGCCTCCTGCTCTTATGGTTTGCACCAGGTGTTACCAGATTTCTACCAGTTTCATCACACCTGCCAGTCTCCAGCTTAAGAGAAGAGTGGGAAGAGGGAGAGACCAGGCTTTGGAGGGTCAGACAGGGAGCCCTGGAAATGCACACGCCTGGTGCCCAGCACCAGGAGACACTGCGGCATGCAGCTATTTCTGTTGACAACATGAGATGAGCTCATGGAAAGATGTGTTTCTAAAAGGCTTCCCAAGGTGGCCGGGGTATTTTTAGTGATACTGTTCAGTGAGCGCTTATCAGAGACCATAGCAACAAGTCTACATGGAGTTATAAATACCGAGTGGGCTCGGGGAGGGCAGATCACAGTGACCATCCAGAACCCCAGGAACTCCAGCAGAAAGCTAAAACGACCCTGCTATGTTATTGGAGACTGAATACCAGTGAGCTCTCAGTTATCAAAGGTGGCTGTGCTGGTACATCACAGCCAGCAGCGAGTTCCAAGCTCACAGCAACCTGTGCAAGGACAAGTTATTCTTGCTCCAAGGCAAGAGCATCTCTGAGTCACAGCTGTGCACACATGTGCAGAGAAAGGAGCCAGGGGCAGCATCAAGCTGGTCCCCCATTTTAGCAGGCATCACCCAAGCTCAGCATCCAAACCAAGCATGGTAGCTGCTGTGACCAGCAGGCAATGTTTGGAAGGCAATTTCTAAGCCAAATAATTCAAAAATATTTTCTAGTGAGCGTACTAACTACCTGGAAGTAATTTATTCCAACTAGTGTCAAAAGCAAGACTCATTCCTGTAGTAGCTGTGCTGGAAGTAAGCACGAGTATGAAAACTTCCAAAATTGAATATCCAGGTGATTGTCTTCCAATAGAGGCCAAGGTTTATTTAAAACTCTTTTTAAGAGAGTAATGTGCCTCCATGCCCTCTCCAAAGTGCCGACTGTCCCCTTCTAAATGTGAAGCTTCTGCCCCTGAAGCTGCTGGGCTGCTGTCACCTGGCTTAAACCACCTTGAACAGCAAAAGCTGCTTCCCAGCCACATTCTGCAGCCTGTGGAAAGGTCAGCAGGAATTTAAATGAATGAAGTAGAAGCACTAAACCCTGATGACACACTGCTGCCTGGGGACAGCACATGGTGTGCAAGATCTGCCATCACCAACCCTGACACTGCCATCAGGCCTTTGTGCCATGACCTTGGCAAGGGAATGCCTGACAGTCTCTTTCTTATTACCTGCTCTCCTGAACCCTGAGGTCCAGCTTCTCTAATTGCAGCTTTTTCTTTCTTTGCATGAAGGATTGTCCCTCTCTCTGGTGTGCAGATGCAGGACTTGGGGACCTTACCATTCAGAGGCACTGAACATCCTCACAGAAGCCTGAGGCTTGGAGGAATGAAGGAAAAGTTGACCTGCACTGTTGCTTTCATATTTACCACCTCCTCTCAAGAAATAAAGAGGCAATTCTGGATCTCAGGAAAAATGTTAGGTTAGAAAAGCTGAAGCAGCCTATCCCCAGAAAATACAGGACACCAGACAGTGATTTCTACAGTTAATTTGATGTGGGGGTGAGCACAAGGACCTCCCCACCTGTCATTGGAAGAGAAATCCATTCCTAGGACGATGCTCTCCTCCGTGTCTTGTCTGCCGTTGGTGGACACCACCACCATGTATCTAGTGCGGTTCTGGTAGGTACTTTCCAGTCTTACAGCCTGAAGAAAAGAAGAGGAAAAGATCAACACTGCAGTCAGCAAAACACACTATATTAGCTTTACAGGCCACGTTTTCATGCTGAGTGACAGGAGCAGAAGCAGTGATGCAGTCTGGGCTGGTATGGATGTCCCACGCTCCTCAGCTGGGTAAAAAGTGCTTTACTCCCACACAGTGCCCTCCTCAACAGCTGGCATGTTCCTGGTGCACTCTGCACACCTGGCTGCAGGCCCTCCTCTGTCCCACCAAGGCTGATTTTCAACAAACTACAGCCCTCAGACTGGCCCCAGCCCAGTGAGCTTCGTGGACCATCAGTGAGATGGATGGGTGTTGAACCTTCACCTTCAGAGGGCTTTGCCCGAAGAACCAGAGCTTTCCTTTAAACTACTGTGTGCTACAACAGCTCCAATGACTCTCTTTCCACCAGCTTCCCAGGCAGCTGGACAGACAACCAGGATCTAATTCATATGTGGTTTCCTGCTGGCCCTTTGAACTCTTCTGGCAACTTCCCCAGTGCAGAAGAAACCTTCCTGCCTTACACCTGGCAGGAAAAGATATCCCTATGACTAAGCTGTATCCTTCACTGGTTCAGACTGCCCAGGAAAGGTGAAAGTCATCGTGCCTTGTTGCTCCTGCCACGTTCACTTCATGTACCCCACTGCCAGAAGAGCTCTAGGAAGACTGGTGTTCAGCCCAAAATCCCCCAAATCAAATACTACTGAGAACATTCAGAGGACAGTGGAACTTAAAACTGTGAATGTCAGACCAATGCTGAAGCTCCTGGAAGGCTGCACTGAGGTGAGCTCTCTTCCAGAAGCCATGAGGAAGTGAGAATTGAAGGGACTCCAGGAAGTCTTGCAGACAGACTGCTGGTTAATGAGGAGCCTAGGGAAGGGAGCCCAGCACTGAAAGTTTTGCTTATCAACACTTGCAGCAGGCAGATTTTACTTGCAACACTTTTTGGACTCTGTTCCAAGCTGTTTGCAGCTATTTTAGTCACAGCATCCCAACCAGAGAAACTAGGACATCCCTAGAAAGGAAGTGTCTTAATTCTGTATACTAAACCTTAACTTTGGATGGCCCAATCCAACCCCAAGACTCTGTCTGGCCTCAGTGTTTACCACATTGTTAAAATGCTGCTTGAACTTTGAGCAGGGCCTGCAGAGAGCAAACACGGGTGAGAAAGAGCCATCCCAGCCCAGCCTTGCACCGTGCTGGGGACAGATCCCTGCCTGCTGCAACAGGACCCAGTTCCTGAATTCCTTGCAACCCTGTGATTGAAATCTGAAGTGGTGTTTACATCCTCCGCAAACTGAACCCAAATTCCTCAAACACCAGCTCCCCTCTCGAGCCATGGCCTATGTAGATGCCTCTTTGTGGCCCTCACAGGAGGTCATGGCTCAGAGATCCCAGTTTAAACAGCCATCCTTAAAAAAGCTAAGAAATTAACTATTGTGTGAGATCTCTCATGAGCAGGCTGCTTTTCCCAGTATGCTCCTTTAGTTGTTCTCAACTTGGTCTTGAGGTCAGAGCAGCACTTCTCAGCTCAGAGGAAGCCCCCTCTGATTTCTTCAGAGCACTCCTGTCCACCAGATGGGAAATCTTGATCTCAACACGTGGTGGAGTCTACAAGAAAGATTAAACCAGTGCCTGGCAGCTGAATAGAGCTCGCCATCCCAGCAGAGTGCTCTGTGGCAGGGAATGCTGAGTGTGGCAGGGAAAGCTTCCCAGTGGCATTGCAGGGAGCAGCAGCTCTGGTGATGGGGCAGAATAGCAAGTGCAGGCAGGAGACAGTGTTCAGAGAGTCTTCCAGACTTGCCCAGTTGGACCAACGACCAACAGAAACTACCCAAATGCTGATGCCAGCAGACAGCCGTGCTCTGTACAGCCAGAGACTGTGCCCCACCCCATCTCCTTAGGATAAGTCATGCTAAAACCAGCCTTATTTTCCTTCTTGCTCCTTGAGTCACTGGGATTCCTCTGGAAACACGGAGGATCAAAGTGGTCAGTCCTTCAGGGTGCAAATTCTCCCCAGGATGGCTGTTTCTAGAACTAACCACTTGTGGGAAAACAAAAAGGTGCTCTTCAACCTAGAAGAGCAAGTAATCACCAAGGTCTTGGTGGTTAAAGTCATTATCTACATTAGGAACCAAACCTCAAAAAGCAGCACAGACTTGCCTAAAACGGGAGCAGACAGACACAGCTGCCCCATGTCTGGGACATCCACACTGGAGTTTCTGTTCTGCTTCTCTTGAGGACAGTCCAGCAGCAAGAGGATTAACAAAATCTAACTTACTTTGCTAAACCAATTTGGCTAGCAGTAATAGGAAGTCTTGATGCAATACTCTTTAGAACAGGGCAAGACAAACAGTGAGCAAAGGTCATGTAGCAACACACTGGTAGGGTAGGATTTTCAGAGGCCAGTTAAGAGAAATAGGGCATGGCTTAGTGTAAATCCCTGGGTTCAACACTTACATCCTTAGCACAAAGTGAAGAACCACGATTAGGCAGAGAATGTGTTTTGCTAAATTTTACTAGAGCATTAAAACAGCAGAATTGACATTGTAAACCAGCCAACTTCACAAGTTACTATTAGAACCCCAATGTGCCTATCAAACCACAAATTAAATCTCTAACCTTTCCATGAAGTGCTAGTTCACATGCTCACCTGCCAGCAGGAGCACACCAAGTGCTCTGATGCCGTTTAAATGAAGATATTTGAAATGCCAGTCACTCTAGGGAGGATGGCCTGGCTTCAGGGACTGTGATGAGATGGAAAGTTATTTCTCAACCAGCTCATCTACACAGAGCTGGCTTTCTCCTCAATTTGGGAAAGTTATTTGTAGTCTGGTCAAAACAAGTCAATCCCTGTAGTCCTTTCAGGGCCAGCTACATTCTTCTTAAGTTTTAGGCTCACCTGAACACAAGCCAACTTTATCTTCTGCTGCATTCTTGTAGCATCAGAAGTATGATGTGGTATTTCACCAGCCCTTATGAACAGCACATTCCGAGAAGTTCATACTGACCTTTCATGCTCCATTATAGCAGGTGTTTCATACAGTAACACAATTCTCATGGAGATAAATGTTTTGAAGACAAAAAAGCGTGTCCAACTTTGAAGTTCCCAGCTTTGCCAAGCTACAGGAACACGTTCAATCGCTTTGCATTCTTAACTCCTTTTCCTCTTTCCTACTGATCTTACACTGGTACCATGGCTCTAATCCTGCTCTCATAGAAGGCTAAAAACCTCTGCCAACAGCTCCAAGAGAAACAAGAGTTGTTCCAAATTTTAAGTGTAGGTTTTTAGAGGATTAGATTCCTCTTCTGCCCCCTGAGCTGTGAAGCTGGCCCTCTAAATGACAGCAGCCAACAAAATGAAGAGAATGCATTTCTCTCAGTACTGTTTATATTTCAAATCTCATTTGTATCTGCTGTTTTATGAGAGAGTCCATTGCAGCCCTGCACACCCTTCGTTCGTCAAGAATCAATTAAATTCAAGTAGACTATCGAACTTAACCTCATGCAAGATTTCAGCATTCCAAATGTAGCTCTAGACAAAAGGGTTTATGTCTCAGCCCACAAAGTCCTTATTCAGCTGTTAAGGCTAATTTGTCCCAAATCACACAATGTAGCCAGTGATACTGCTGAACAATGCCTTGTTCAATAGCTTCCAATGTTCTAACCCTGGCTCAAATTCTGAAAAGCATTGAGAACCCTCATTCCCATCACTTTCACTGAAATTTTCATGACACCAAGGTGTGCCTGGCAAAGTTTAGAGGAGTAGGTCCTTTGGCTTGCTTATGGCAAATTATTTTTGGTGGTCATTCGGGAAGATAAAGCATTCCATAGTAACCATGGCTGTTTCCTAGCTATACTCATCCAGTCAGCCCATCTCCAGCACAGCTCAGGAGGATTCAGCAAACCAGAGGTGCTGGAATAACACTTGTGATGCTGACAGTCCTTCTTTGGGCAGACGTTGCTAAGATGCACCAAGAAAACACAGGAAACAAACTTCAGGCTACTGAGTGATGAGAGGTGCAGACACACTGCAGTCATGCCTGGCCTTGTACAGCACTTCAACATGTCCCAGGCAAATTCCTCACTGCTCACATTTGGCTTCTGGAGCTCTTCAGGACTGTGCATCAATGCTATGAACAGAATGCCTCATTTTAATTATATCATTATAGGAGGCAATAGCCCAGGAAAGCAGAAGGCCAAGATTCAGTGCAGGTGCGTGGCCACATGGGGATCCTACATGCTCCCACCTCTTCAGCCGTGGCCTTTTGGGATGCCACAAGTCAGGAGAGCAGAGTGAGGAACACAACTGAACTCTGAAAGAAGGGCAGGTGCTCACTCACACTGGTCAGACATAAGTCACCTACTCTTGATTTAACCAGGACACCAAGATAATTTACCCATCCTCTCTGGCAATTGTTACAATAATTTTTTGGGCGCACACATACTCAGTACTTGATTCAAAGATAACTTTCTAGCCATACAATTTGTCTCACCAAGCCACCAAAGCAGGCCTTTCACAACCAGCTGCTTTCCTGCCTTTGTGGTTGCAAAGACTCCCCAAACCTGCTGACGAAACCACACCAACACACACAGCACTGCTTCCCTGAGCTGCACAGGTGTATTTGTCAAGTGGTGCTTAACCTTTGCATTGGTTCACAGGAGATAAGCACAAAGCCAACCTACCAGTCTGATGTTGTCTTCTGGGCGGAGCAGGATGAACATGGCCTGCAGGTGCTGCTGGAGATCCCCTGCAGGCAAGAGGGCAAGGTGAATACACAAAAATAGTTTTAAATCACATGCGAGTTCCTGGCTGTACAGCCAGAGCAAATGTCCACCGAGAAACCTGACACGTCACCAGCAGTGTCGTCACTGTCACTCCCACCCCCTCAGAGATGGGAGTTTTGTCATCTCTTAGTCAGCTGCTCTTTGCTCCCCGTGCTCACCTGTTCCTGTGTTACTCTGCTAAATCCTGTTATTTTTTTTTTAACAGAAATAAGCAGGGTTTTGGTACTCTTTGCTCCTCTGACAGACAAGTCAGCCTAGGTAGAAATGGATCCCAACCCGTGGTTCAACATCTCATTCTACCATGTGCTCCAAACCAGAGATTTGCCATTTCTTTTACATCAGCTTATTACTCAGTAAAGAACTATTAGCCAGGCAAAAGTATACTTTCTTTGGAGTGAGATTTAGCCCTGCTTTACAGCAGCACATGCCCACCTATGGTTGTGCACCAACCCCACCCAAAAGCAGCTAAGAACTGAAAAATCAAACACCTATAATTCTTTCCTAGAAAACACTTGCAACACCTTTCCTGGTGAAGCTGAGGAAAAATAAAGGAAAATTAAATTTAGCACATGACTGTGATTTTAAGAATTATTAAGAAGAGACAAGTGTCCCAAGTTCCTAAAACATCAAATATTTCAAAGACAAGTGAGATGATTTTCTGTCAGCACTGCTGCACTCATTTCTCAGCACTACTCCTGGCATGTAGAGAGCCAACATCACCCCTGAGTACCAGCCAGCAGCAACACCTCCTGCACGGGGCTGGTTTTTCAATCATTACATGGAAAATTAATCTGCATTCCCAGAAAGGAGAGTACAGAGCTGCCAGGTGGGTGGCACAGATCAGCAAGAGGAGCCTTTGCTCTTCCACCCTCTCCCACTCCCCCACAGCCAGGAAGCTCAGTTTAGGCAACACTACAAGGAGCAAATATTCAGCAGGATCAGCTACAAGAACCTTTTCTAGGAAGGCTGGTTAATCCCCCTGACCTCCCTTTCTGATTCACCAGTGGTGATAGAATCCATGTTACTTCACAGACTCTCAGAAACGAGGAAAGCTTGGACACGGAGCAGCATCCAGAAACACCAAGAAAGGGAAGGAGAAGAAAGGAAAGGCTGCCCAGTGAGAGTACCTGGTTTCCAAATGATTTTTGTAGTTGGTGGAAGAGCAAGGCTGAAGGGCTGTGCAGCCCCTCTCTGGATGGAACAGAGACAACCTAGCATGGAGTGGGTTACACAGGACACTGCAATCCCTGCTCTCCCCTTCCTTCCTCCTTGAAACACATTTCAGCATATGGAGAATGAGTCAATGCTCTGGGAATGAATTTTTAACTGGGGGTGGGAAAATGCTGAGGCACTCAGCAGTGCAGGGAAATCACAAAGTATCACCAGCGACAAACACCTGAAACTGCTTCCTGCCCATGGACATTGTTATCAGTGCGGGAGTGGCTGGCACGAGCCTCTCTAAATAGAAATTATTTATGGAGACAGGGTACTCAGGAAGGCCAAGTCATCCATCAGATGCTTGTTCTGCCACGAGTGGCATGACAGGATCTCCTCACATCAACACCACTGCAAAATCCTGACAGCACTGCTCAGTTCCAGCAAGTTCCAGCTAAAAAACACAGTGGGAATTGCGGAGAACTTTCAGTCAAAAAGCAGAGGTCCCCCTGCACCCCCTGCCCACAGCCTGCAAGAGCTCAGCAAGTATTTGACTCATGAAGCATCCACATGGCTTAGTCTGAAATGAAAGATGCTTCACCCCCAGATTTTTCCCTCTCCAAAATGTAGCAGTTCCCACTTACTGCTGCCAGTAATTCAGGGACCATCTTAAGAGCCAAAGTTTCCAGAGTTTAAAAAGAAATCACCTGGACTACTGGATTATCTCAATACTTAAAGAGAGGAAGTTTCTACGACAACCCTTTCTGCAAGGCTCAGCCAAGGAGCTCCATTATCCTTCATCCTCAGAAAGTTTACCACACTCCTCCCTGTTCCCCTGCCAGCCTTGGGATCTCCAGAGCTGGAAAGTAAAGGATTACTCCCTTGGCCAGCTTTAATCAACTTGCAGGGTTTTCAGCCCCAAACACACAAGGCACTTTGTAAACTTCCTGGATTAAGAAAAACCAAAGGAAAGGCTTTAACATGCCAGAATCAGCACAAAGATATCACATCCTGTCCTGTGAAGAGCTAGCTTTGCTGGCAGTCATGGCAGGGCTGCTGCTTCCTATCACATTGTCCTGTGCCGAGCAGATGCTTTTGTTTCCCCGAGCTGGCAGGCAAGGTGCAAAGCATGGGCAAGGATGGGATCTGAAAAGTGATTCACAGTATTCCAGAGATAGCAAAAGCCCCAGGGAAGTTACATCCCTTTCTGGCCCCCTCCAATGTTGTTTACTGTGGAAAACCAAGCCCACCATCCCACAGAAGTTTGCCAGGTGGCACAGGACCACCCAGGGAGAGGAATATGGACAGCTGGTACCATATCTAGTCAATCTGCCAATGATTCCCATTGATGGAGGCGTGATTAGAGAAATGGGTGTGAGCATTAATTATTTCCTGTTACCCATTCACTCTTTACGCTGGATTCTAGCGCCTCTGATGAATTAAAAAGGCAGCTCAGGAAGGTCAGTCAGCCTTCCTAGAAAATGCTCTTGAAGCCACTTGAAAAACTATTGCATGTATAGGCAGCAATTCCATACTGGAAAGTTATGTCCGCTCTCTACGCCTTTCTAATTTTGTGTGCCAGAGATAAGTCACGACACACACGGGGATGGAAGCTGAGCATGGATTATCGGTGTCCCAGAAAGGAGGCAGCTGCACACACTGCCAGCCACGCTCTCCACATCACTGATTCAATTCTGGTGGCACAGATGTTTTTCTCAGGAAGGTGACACACTGATTCCCTGGTGCCTTGGTCTGCTGATACTAGAAAAATTCACAGAAATCTGGTGCACACTCAGACAAGGGACTCTCTTCAGAGCATTCCCATCACTTGACAGGCAGGGAAACTGAGGAAAGCACTGATCCCTCATTAAATCTTACCCTGTAACCTGAAAATAAAATAAGTCTTCTAAGAATAAAAATCCACCCCTTAGGCAATCCAGCCTCGGCAATACCAAACATCTCGCTGTAAGCAATTACAACACACCGGATTTGCTTCCTTGGCAATCTGGCTTCCAAGAGCTCTGGGCCGATTAGACAAGCAATTATTTTCCACCAAGGTCTCCAGACCTCATGCAAATCAGCTGGAGTGAGTAGATGAGGCAAGTAGAGAGACTCAACAGCTGTCTGTGCTGCTTTGCAGAGGTTCAGCAGGACATCCACGCTGTGGGTCTCCTTGGCGAGGCAAAGCCAAGGCAGCAGTGCCAGGGCAAGACCTGGGCTTCAGCAATGGACTTTGGAGAGATTAAAAACCAAGACAGGCCCAGAGAAACTTTAAGATTGCTGACTCTACTTTCACACTAAAGGACATTTAACTTCATTCTCAACCAGAAAGGTCATCTTTAATTTAAGTTTCAGAACATTTTCTTTTGACAACTGGTAATTAATGCATCTCACCAAAGCAATTTGAGTACTGCTTGTGCTATATTTGAGTGGAAGTATATAATTAAATGCCTTCTGACTTAAACTTTTTCTATAAATATGTTTGCAAACAGATTTTGAGGTGACCAGTTATCACATATGTAACGCTGACAGATGCAGAGGTGGATGACAATCTGATGGTGTCGAAGTACAAAGGGATCTACACCTGGAACAAAACCAAATCACGTTTTCCTGGTCACTACCTGGCAAAGCACGTTGACTCTTGTCTCTGTTTCTATCTCTGTCCCATGGTCTCAGTTTATTTTTGTTTCCTGCCAATTACTTTATGGAAGGGGAAAATCCCCATGCTATCTGATTCGTAAAACACCATCAGTGATTAAGCACTATACAGCCAATGAAAAATACCCTACCCTGAAATGTTTGAGTTATGATATTCAGAGCAACTTTTCAAAGAGAGTCAAAACTCAGAGCGGATAAAGGAGGTGGAATTATAACCAATTCTGTATTACTCACTCTGCTCACACCTCTGAGAAGTCACACTGACTTTGCTCAGAGGTTTCCTCACCCCCACGTGGAGGTAAGTTTGGTAAGCCTCCTCCCTTTCCTCCATAATAACCGGTTACTTTCAGATTAGGAAGGACCATTACTCACCCCATATCACAAGCTCAGGTTTGCCAGTGCAATGCATGAAGGTTTTGAAGGCAATCCTCCCCTCCCTCTCTCATACTAAAATTACAGGATGATATTTTGGGGGGCACTCATTGTCAAGTCTCCACCATGTCATAACATGATGTCACGCATTTGTTTGACGATCGAGTTTGAACAGGAGAGTTTCAAAACCTTTCTTTCCTATCAGCATTGAGACTGGCAGGTCAGGCTTTAATAGACACATGGGCCGGACAGATGTGTGTCATCAGGTGAGAATGAGCTCAAGAAAGGTGGACTCTGAAACAAGAGGGAGCAGACAAGCCCCAGCCATCGATACCACACTTACCTGCATGTTTGTTGCGCCTGTGACTGATCCTGGGAGTGGATGACCCATTTCCTCGTGGCAGGAAGAGAGCTGCACCTTTCACAGTGAGGAAGCTTTCGCTGATGCTGCAAGGGAAAAGACAAAAAAGGAGTGAGGAAAAGTGTCTTGTCTCCAAAATGGAAAAAAAACAATGAACAAGAGAGATTGAAAGCACTGAATGCATGTTCTTTTGCAAGGAAGTGATTTAGACCAAATCATTCTGTTGGTAAAGAACTTTTCCCCCCATGTAAATACTGCAAACATTCAAAGCATAACTGAGAACAACTCAAAGAGAGAAACACTGAAAAGCAGAACATATGCTGGTGCCACTCTGCCTGCAGAGGTGCAACCTGAGCAGGCAGAGGGGATTAACCTATGGCTACATTTTCGATTTGAAAGTCAAGAGGACAGATCCACATTTCTAAATGGTGATGAACAGAACAAGCCCACGCATCTGGGTAATTATGGACTCCGTTAACCCTGAGCTTTGTGGCTCAGACACAGCTGATGCCCTGCAGAAACAAATGTCTCCCTTCAGCAGTTAGCCAAAAGAAAATTAGTGTACACAACAGATTAAGAAATCATAAAACTACTCTCTATGAGAGTTGCATGATGATTAACTCTCAAAGAGTTATAAATTACGAAAGCAAGAAACTGTAATGCTGTTGAAATCGGCCATCACTTCATGCCTTGATTTTGCCCTTTCTGAAGTCACACGAGGAGAGAAGTTTGTAAAAAGGGGCAATAAAGAATTCTCAAGTACTGAGGAACAGTTGGTATTTTAAGCACATCTTCCAGCCATTTTCTTGCAGATGCTGTGGTTCGTGGAAAAAGCAAGACACACTCCAGATTCTGCAACGCAGCCATCCTGTTGCATACTCGAGGGTTCCTGCTTTTCTCAGAATTGATAAGACAGTCCTAGAGGCTTTGAAGAAAGCCAGAAACAATTCTCTAGTCAACAGGATGGTTGATGATTATGATAAGACAGGATGGGAGAGTCCCTGGCATCGTGCATCCCAACAGCTTCATGCCTTGAAAAAGATGTTTGCTTGTCCTTCCACCCAGCAAGAGCTTAGGAACTTTTTATTCATTTCTCCTCTTAAATATCAAACCTAGTTAGTTATTCCCTTCCTCTATGGGATGAGGACTGGGAAATTAATAGAGTAAAAAGCCCTGCCATATATTTTCATTATTTGTGGCTAACTGCTTTACCAAACCGTTTTCTTACTACATTTTTATAAGTAAAATAATTAGAAAAGCTTGCATTAAAGTTGGATTTCCCCCTAAGCTCAAGCACATTTCTGGGCACCTATCCATTTTGCTGCCAGGGATATAAAAAATGAAGTTTTCCAAGCTCCAGAAAAGCAGATGCACAGAGTCAGAAAGACTTTTCTCAAGGCTGCAGCACATCCCAATGTTTAGACCATGCTGTCATACCCTCAGCACTCTTAAGTGACAAAGTTGCTCCCAGGACTTTTTTTCCAAAAATTGAACCAGATGTCAAACATGCTCTAGATGCTTTAACAAAGAACAGAATTTTAAAAAGGAGAAAATCACTCATCCTAAATTAAAACACATCAGAGACTTCTCTACTTATAATAAAGTTAAAACAAAAAAAATAGTAAGTTCATTGGGCACATTGAACATGTTTCCTTAGACCATTCTCACATTAAAAAATTTGATTGAGCCTTTCTAGCTTTTGTTGACAAATAAATCCCCTCAAAATTCTCAATATACACAGTTTCTTACAGCCTGAACTAGAGAAACACCAAGTTATCTTAAGGACACTTAAAAAAATAATAACAGCATTATTAATGATAAAAGTAATTTCTCCTTCTCCCATTATAATCTCACCACAGAAGAAAACTGTTAAAAGATGTTAGGCTGCAGAGGAGGAGAAAGAATTCAGCACTCACAGACAGCTTTCATACAGTTAATTTTATCAGCAAAGCCAACCACTAATATTAGTAATTCTTTAGCCTGTGCCCGAGGTTCCCCTAGAAGCTGGAATTAGCAACTATTTTTAGTGGATAATGTAGCATGTAGCTGAGAGGGCCAGAAGGTTAAAAATCTTCTCAATTCCATCACTTTCCCTCGTCACCAGCTCTCAGCCACCTGCCTGGAAAGGAAAGAGCAGCAGAACTAAAGAGATTCCCATCAGGTGCATCCTTCCAGGAGGCACCTTCTCTGTTATGGCCAGGAGAGCCTTGTTTTGGGCCATTAACCACGGGCTTTAAGTGTAACTCGGTAGGACTAGGGAAAGTAATTTCCCATACAAAGGGCTGGAACAGCTGAAGAATGTGGCAAAGCAGATCATTCTTGTGGAACAAGGAGGTCAGGCAGGGAGGGCAGCACCTCCCGCAGGGCAGGAGCGAGGGCAGGAGATGGCCATCAGCACTGCTGGGAGAACAGCAGCGCCATGGAGACAAGAGCCTTGTGCCAAATCCAGCTGTGGGGACACTCACTCTGCACCCTTGGCATCACCTGCCCTGAATTCTAACCCCAGACCCAACAGTGTCCAGAAAATAAACCCCTAATACACACACACACACACACACAAAACAAAGCTCTTGCTCTGACATTCGAGCAGTAAAGAAAATCTTGGGAGGAAAAGCAACAAATTCATAGGGAAGTCCAAGTAGCTCTAATACTAAATTCAGCAGATGCTGATTTTGGTGCCTGTCATGCACTACATGGACCACAAAAGCAATCGCTGGCCTGATATCCTCCGTGCCACACTCAGATGGCTGCTCCATTTGGGTCCATCCCTGCCATGAGCTACACCTAAAGCATCATATTCAGGGCAGAATCACCTTTGGATACCGACCCTGATATATAAAGAAAAAGGATTCCTCGGGTGGGGCACTAACAGCAGGCCCCACTCCAAGACACTTCAAAACACAAAAGGTAGAAAAGATGTCTGTGAAAAGGGCAATTAAGGCTCCAAACAAGTGCTGCCATCCACTACTGATTTCACCCTGCTGGCAGCTGATGACTCCCAAGCATAACGTGGGCTTTGAAATACTTCACAAAATCAGGCTTGCCAGAGCCTACGGGAGCGTCAGAGCTCTTTGAAACACTCTCCTGGAACAGACTGGTGTTAAAAGACACTCAACGTGGCTAGGGGAGAAGTTGAGTCCAGGACAGCAGAAGACAAGGAGCCAACTTGGCACAGGTAACAAAGCTGAGCTATGCTTTATCAGCACCCCAGGCGTGTCATCAGTACTCTGCACTGCACAGCAGGTTTTTTCAGGAGAAGACTTACTCAGGACATACCTATGAAAGAGTTCACAATCCTCAGCACTACAGCTGAGGGGAAAGCCCCTTCTGTTCCATGTTCACCTCTGCAGTGAAGCAGCAGCCTCAAGGCCACCAGGGATGTGCTATTTGTAATTCCCTGCTCACTGGGAAGAGAACCAACGCAAGCAGAAGACTTAAGCAATTCCTATGGAAATCACTACTTGTACCAATTTTTCTCGCAGGCAGAAAACATTTTGCAGAAATTGTACAAGTCACATCAGAACTATTTAAAGCCTTTTGCACAAAAAGCACAGATACTGCCCTCAGAAGGCTCTGTTTCTAACCAGCAGTAACTCTAAAACCTTAAAATCTTAGCAGGAAACAGAAGTGATTCCCGGGTTCCCTGATGTGCTGCCTAGGGCTGAGCTCCTCCAGCACAAGGAAACCACTGCACGGTTCAAACCAAATTCTCATTATGCTACAAAATGAGATCTACATAGAACTTACAGGTGACAAACAAATAATAAATGCCTTCCCAGATGTTACACTGCACAGCTCCATTCATAAACTGCAAGCACGAACACCAAATACACTGATTTGAAGACACAAAAGAGAAAGTGTTACTGGTTTAAAGGCTGTGCCAAAGCGATGTAGTAACATAAATCACTGGATGCATTGTCAGGACCCCCTGGACAATGCCTTCCAGCTCCGAGCCAGGTGAATCTCCACCACTCTCCAATTTCAATGAGAAACTCTCAGTCCTCAGAATAAAATGCTCCAAAAGGAACCTTGCAGTTTACTTCTGAAACTGCTTCACAATGAAAGGAGAGAAAACCATTTTAGGAATAAGGCAAGGAGGCACCTGAACAGCTAATGGCAATGTTTTATCCTAATAAACACTTAATTAAGTTATTGCGAGCCTGAGGATGACTTTCCAAAAATTGGCTCTCCTTAATCATCAGAGCAGCTCCCTTACAGCAGGCTCTGTCCTGTCCAGCCCAGCCCTTGGTCGGGCACTTGCCAAGTAGCACAACCAGAAAGTTGGCACCATTCCCTGACAGGCTCGGCAGGAGAAGTCTTTCCATCCACATCCTCCCACACAATGCACAGGACAGGTCAGTGCTGCAAAGGCCAAAACCTCCTTGTGCTGTCACCTCCTCGCAGCTATGCCTAAGGACCATGGCTACTGTGTGTGGTCACATCCTCCCACCTTGGTCACCCTTACCCTTAGATGAAATGGGAGATTGAAAAGTGGTGGTAGGGGAAATGAGGATTTCAAGGTACTTCACATTTGAATGGAAGTCCACCACTTGTACGATTTACAGAAATACAGTATCTCTTAGTGGGTATTTATTAACCAGAACCCAGCAGAAAAGAGCTCTGAAACAGCTCCAATGGGATTTCAACACCAAGCCTGGCTCCAGCTGTAGCTCCCCGTGACAAGAGAGTTGTGCAGTCCCTCAAGAGCCCCCCGTGTTTACTCTAACACGAGCAGCCAATGCTGCCTTGCACACCTCAGCTGCCAGCTCAGCTCTATCACCCTCCCTTAATCCAGCGGCTGCAAAACTCAAACCAAACAAAAATACCAAAATCCCAAGGCTGGCAGGAGTGGCACAGCAGGCGTCAATACTGAGCTCATTCCCGAGGTGTGGAAGGAGGGAGAGAGGGCAGCCGGGGACATGTGAGCGAGCTCTGGAGCAGCCAGGACTGCAAGAGCAGCAATTCCCCTGCAGCCTACTGGGCCTGGCACGGGAGAAGTGACAGGAGGGCAGACACAGCAGCCTGATGATTTTTTCAGCACCTTCAGCCCCTTCCCTCCCTCTTCCTGCTCCCCTTCCCAAACTGG